TCCAACCACCACAATCGGCTCCCCTACAGCAAACAAGGTAGGTAGGTGCCTAGGTCAGTAGATCGTAGGCTCGTAGGTACTCGGGGAACGGCCGCCTGATGGGCGCGGGATTGCCTCTCGTCTGTGTACGATGTATGCACACACTTGAGTACCTAGAGGAAGGGCGCCACTATGGCCGGAGCACCACTAGACGGGGGTTGAAGGTCGCCCAATGGCGGGGTCGGTGCAAGCTTGAGCCCCCCGGCTCGCCCGGCCTCCCAAGAAACCGCTAGAAGCTGGGAAAAGTTGGGGACAGAACGTGGGGCACGGCGGATTCAGCCCCACTGCTGTTGCCGCAATTGTCCCATTACTGGACTTCCAGGGCCTATTTCTTCCGCCAATGGCAGCGCACCAAACCCGACCTCCCAGATGCTCCCAGATGCTCGGCGGCAGGCTTGGCATTGCTTTGTTTCTCCCCCCGATGCGCTTCCGTGATATTAGGTTGCCTTCAATGATCGTTCAACATCCGCTTCCTTCTTTAGTGGGCAGCTATGTTCAATCAGTCAGACCAGCTGCCAGCCTTCGATAGGACCCGGTTCCGTGGCCCGGTCGACATAAGCACGCGCATTCCTTTGTCGACTTGTTCTGTAAGGAGATATAGCACGCCATCCTCGGCTCAATCATCGCGTGATACGGTTGAATTATATTCTTCCAGCTTGGCATGTTTCGAGTCGTGTGTATCGTCATTATGAAGTGTTCGACCTTTCCATTATTCGACATGTGTTCCATCATGATCGTTCGTGATCGCAACGATGGTTGTTGGCCTGGAGATGTATTGGATTTCAGTCTGAATTCACCCGAAATTTCTGACTCTTGGACTTAATCGTGTTCTCGATCATTGACTGTGTTGCCATATTTGTCTAGGGACAGCTCTGAGAGACCTCTATCGTCATGCAGCATGGACACAGGCCGTTCCGCGATTTCTCGACTGAAGTTGGATCCATGTGGACCAAGTTTCTGCCGGCCTCTGCTGCGACGTATGCCGTATCGAAAATGGGGAGGTCGAGATGGCCACGTCAAGCTTTCTCCGTCTATTTGCCATTGCAGTGCACACTTGCTCCCGATCAAGGAAGCCGATCCACGGCGGGATCCTGTGTTATCGCCAGCAGGAGATAGATTGTCATAGGTCGGTGTGGTTGTTCCGAGATGCAGTCTTATCAGAAGCCGTCCCATACCCAGTTCGAACTAGCATCCTTGTGAGGAGGCAGACGTTGCTTGTTGCGTAATCTAACGTGGTTCTTGATCGTGTAGGTGAGATGGGCACGTAGCCATTAGATCGTATTGTTCACTTGTGCACTTCTCGGTCCAGTCTTGGCCCCAGTCCCCAGCCTTGAGTCTCGTATAGAACAGACAGGAGGCTGCTCGTTCAACGGGGATATTCACCCGAGGTTGCAGCACGTCAGCGAAGGTAGCATCATACGTGTGATGAACTAAATGCCTGAAATGTGCCTTTCGTGCCACAATATCAAAGCCGGACTGGACCCGCAGACACCAAAAGCTCGTACTAATGAAGTCAAAGCTCATGAAGACGATGAGTATCTGACCGAAGCTCTTTCTTATTGACTCTGCCCTTTGACTGAAGAGAGCATGGATGGAGGTAAGAGGTAAATAGGCAGGTGGTATGGCTCGGGAGACATGTTGGTGGCTCCTGCCGTCTCAGCAGGCTCACAAAAGCTTGCGAAGGTACACGCCCTCCCCCTCCCCCCCCTCCCCTTCTTTTCCCACTGCAGAAGAGAGTACATTGTGAGCTCCTTCCTCTCCAAATATCTATCAAATGTGATCTGGGCAGGCAAAAACGCACCTGGGTGCCCGTGACTTACACTGATTTGTAGCTGGCTAAATGCTGACCTCTAGTTTGACTTGCAACTATGCCTGTCAAATGGTCAGCTTGATGCGCAAGATGAGAAACTTAGACTTACGAATGGCCTCCGTGAAATTTGATGTCAATGAGCTCTCCGTTGTCTCTCTTACCTGCATAGCTCGGTGAATATTTTTGACCAGCAATGACAGATAAATTATCAATGTCAATAGTGAAGAGACGTGATAGGCACTTAGAGTGGCGGGCACCCACCACACTCATCTCTTCAGAACCAACCAAGCTTGGAATGCATTGTTGAAATCAACGCAAGTTATGTAAGCGTTCAAGAGGAACCGAAGATCAGCCCTGCTGTGAGCCTCACAATTACGCATAGAAAAGCGTTTCTTAATGCTCAAATAATACTCGTGAGAGCTTTTAAACACTTCCTGGTCTCATTATTGCAGGGTAATCTATGTATCCCCAGAAATGAGGCGATGTCTTCTTTTGGTGAAGTAGTTGAATCGAAAGTAAAGGGACAGGCCAGACATAGAATAGGACTGATTGGTGATGACCGCCAAATTATTTGGGAAATCTACACAGTCAATATCTCTGTCAAACGATCCTTGGGTATTGCTAATAGGACTTGCTGTCGTTCAATTCTTCTTTGTGTAATGTAGGCTGCCTGCCTGTGCATACGACCAACTTCAGGCTAAGTTGAAGGGCGGCTTAGGAGGCTCAAGCGGCGCCTGCCGTTCAGTGGCACATCTCTAGCAACCACACGCCCGGAACGCGCTAAAAATAGCAGGCAAGATCTCACCGCAGGAACTACATCCTTTCTACAGTCACAGATCTTCTCGAAGAATTTTACAACTGACTCAAGTGTAATGAGTTACTTGACAATCATATGCACTCATCAAGAGGGCTGAAACCGTGAAGAGAGACACCATATATCTACCGGTGCGGCAATGTAAGTGGAGCGGTGTCTGGTCAAGTCACTGCACATCATCCGCATGCATAAACTCTTATCTTATCGCCCATATCGGAGGGAGATCTACCCTACCTACATACCTCCAGGACCAGGTATATCGCAAGCTTTTCTCACGGCAGCACCAAGTCATCCCCTTCCATATCGTAAGCTTCGGCTGCAGAGCTTCTCTTTTAGACAGTATACTGTACATTTATTGTATGTTCCGGTCACCAGCTGAGGAATCTGAGGTTTCCGAGAGCCCACCTAGCTCCGGCTTCGGCTTGGCCTTACCCCTGGTAGATCTTACCATGTTATGATGCCAACGGCACGACTCCTTCGCTGGGGCTTCGGCCTGTCCGCATTAGTCGTGGTGCTTGCAGCATATATCGGCCTCCAGCGTCCTCTTCAGTCATTCGGGTTAGATAATGAGATCCATTGCTATCAGGGCGTGTACACCGCCTCAGCACTGGCCAAAGGCATCATGCCCAAGTGCTTCACGGTTTCGGGGGGCAAGTTTAGTCAAATTTTGGCAGAGCCACCTTCTTCATATCAAAGGAATGCAGTGAGAAAGGGATATGCGTATCCTGGTCTCTGGGATGGACATGGGCATCTCCTACAATATGGAGAGTTCTTACATTCGGTCGATCTCTTCGGATCATCTTCTTCTGGGCAGGTCCGTAGCCGAGTCGTGGATTACCTGAAGAGCCACCCTGATACTGGTACACGAGATAATTGGATCAGGGGAGTCGGATGGGATCAGATGGCTTTAGGTGAAATGCCTACTGCTGTAAGTCACAATTGAAGTCTCTGATGGATTGTGGCGCTAATAACTTTGAAGGGCATGTTGGAAGCAGATAAGGAGCTGAAAGGGCATTACATCATGCTTGACCGTATTGACGTTCACTGCGTCTGGGTCTCGCAGGCTGTTCTCAACCTACTTCCTCGAGACCTCCCAGATGTTCCTGGTGGCGAAATTATCAGGGATCCTGGCATGGGCGTCTTCTGTGATAATGCCATGGACGTTGTTATGGCCATCTGGCCTCGCCCAGATGCTAAGAAGAAACAAGAGGCTATCAGATCTGCAATGAAGAGCCTTCATGCCGTAGGTCTCGTTGGCATGCACGATGCCGGTGTTATACCTGAGGACCTGGCATTATATCAGGAGATGTCACATTCGACCGATTGGACACTTAGAGTCTACGCGATGATAGAATGCAAAGAGCGCAATACATTCTGCCCAGATCAGGCTCCGTGGATAGAAGAAGAGAATGGCATGCTGAATGTGAAGAGCGTCAAGTTGTTCGCAGGTTAGTAGTAACCCTTGGAGCTCAATTTTCGCTAACACCATCAAGATGGCGCATTAGGCAGCTGGGGAAGTGCTATGATTGAGCCGTACAGTGATAGACCAGACGCATCTGGATCACTGCTCGTAGATGGCGCCACACTAATGTCTTTAACCAAGTCATGGTCGGCTGCTGGCTATCAAGTCAACATCCATGCAATCGGAGATCTTGCGAATCGGCTGGCCATCGACGCCATGGAGGCCGCTCTCATAGATCTTTGCCCTGGACAGATGTTACATCAATGTCAAGCCGATCACCGATTTCGCATCGAGCATGCACAGATCATACATCCGCATGATCAAGCACGCATGATGAACATGGGCATCATCCCCTCGATCCAACCAACGCACGCGACTTCTGACATGAAGTACGCCGAATTGAGACTTGGGCATGAAAGAACTACAACAGAAGCTTACAGGATGTCCTCATTTCTGAGCCTCAAACCCGTCTTAGGAAGCGACTTCCCTGTGGAACCACCAGATCCTTTCCAAGGTTTATATGCCGCCTTGGCTAGGAAAAGCCCACATACAGGTCGAGGAGTGAATGGAAGCCTGGATGGCTGGTACCCCGAGGAGTCAATAAACACAATTGCGCTGGCGCTGCAGGGATTCACGATATGGCCTGCACACGGGGCCTTCCTTGAGGACAAGGCCGGCGTGATACAAGAGGGAGCTTTTGCTGATTGGATTGTTCTAGACATGCCGATAGAAAGTATTGCACTGGAGAAGTTGCGTAATATGAGGGTGAAAGAAACCTGGGTTGGAGGCAATAAAGTATACACAAGAGAATAAACGCTACGAGATTGAAAATTCCCCGTCATTTTCTCATGTATGTAGCAGCAGCATTCGATACTTTATCTGTGCTTGTATAGGGTCTGGCCAAGCTCCTTGATCCATGACTTGTCACGTTTGTTCTTGTCGTCGTCATCGAGCAAGAAATGTACTTTTTGCAGTCTCTCTCTCGCAGCATCTCGGACAAATCTGACAATGTCGCCCGCCGGCAACTCCTCTGTCACAAGACCTACACCAGTACCACTTTTGCTCGGTCAGTCTGGCTCCATAAAGGTTGAGTTAACAATCTACTTACGCCCAGTGCACCAATCTGGAATTGTCTCCGGCATCCTTTGCTTCTTTTAACTTCTTGATATTCTCCTCGATCGGTAGCCCCGAAGCATGGTCTTTGTAAGAGTCTCCGATGATGGCTCGACCATCGTACAATTTAGGCCAGATGGTGGTCCCTTGGACGTCATCGTGGAAGTATGATCTTCAGCTAATTAAGCCTTGGCAATCTCGACTTTTGTGAATCAGGGAATGCTTACTTGACTGTGGACACTCCACCATCTTGCGTTTCTAGGATAACTTTGCGACGGACTTCTGGAGAGAGAGCTTCTCTTGCGACAATGAACTAAATCATATCAGGTGACGTTAGCACCCGAATCATAACCCGACATCATCGAGTCTGCTCCTTCCAACTTACCCTCGTACCCATAACAGCAGCCTCCGCACCTATCGACATGTTAGCGCCGCCAAAACAAACCAGTATACTTGAGGCATCTGCTTACCCAGTGCCAAAGCAGCGACAACACCACCCGCTTCAGAGATGCCTCCGGCAGCTACCAGTACTACTCCTCGGGAAGGGAAGTCGCGATCGAGCATGGCTCTAATCTCCGGCACCAAACTGATGACACCTGCACCCTGCTGGAATTGGTGGCCACCCGCATCCACGCCTTGCGCAACGATAACATCTGCACCATCTTGCACCGCCTCCCTCGCAGCCGCCACTGTGCCGACCTGAACAAAGACTTGAAAGCCATGCTCATGAAGCGCCGTGATAATGCCCGGATGCGAGCGGGGCTCAGCGGCCGGGTCCGGCGCGAACAGCCACACCGCTTGGGGCATGTACTTCTCGAGCAGCGGCAGGGCCGTCTCCTTGAACTGCGAGACGCTCGGGCTCGCGGTGATGAAACCCACACCGACCGGCGCCGGAGTGAGGGTCAGCTCGGCGATGCCCAGTATCTCCCGCGCAGCGATCAGCTCCTTCTCCAGGTTCGCGAGGTGTGCGCTGCCGGGGGTGAAGTCGGCGCCGCCGGGGATGATGCCGAGGCCCCCGGCCTTGGAGACATGTGCTGCCAGCGTGCCATTAGACACGCCCAGCATGGGCGCGCTGATGATGACTGGCTGTTTCACGTTGGGAAACCATTCCTGCAATTTAGACTTGGGCTCTGCGCGTTCTGGGGCCATGGTGAATAGACGTGAATTTGATGAGAAAGATCTGGAGCGTATCACACAAAGCTGATTGCTGGAAATAAAGAGCCTACAAGTTCTTCGTGAAAGTAGGATTAGTCTCATTGAATATTCTCAAAAATCAGCATTTGCTGACAGGTCCGACTCAAAAGGAATGCCTCAACGGCACAGCACATCATATATTGGAAAGGGCCAGGGCGCGCTCTCTGTGTGATTGACATATAATTTCCCCGGTCAAAACTTACCTAAGAATTGTGCCTTACTGACTCGAAGAAACTGAGCGACTCCGTCGAACGTGCTCCGTCTGGCCGAGCTGAAACGGTTATCGAGGATATGACGGGTATCAAGGATGAAGTCATCTTTAGTGGGACTGCCGTGTTTCTGCGGGGTCCTCATGGGGCAAAGAACCTTAAATGGACCCCTGCTCGAATCTCATAAGGCAAGATAGAGATGCGACGCCAACCTCGAAGACAAATCAGACAAAGTCCTTCGTATAGGAACAGTCAGCCGCATGTCCACGAAGCGATGGGGAACCCGGCTCTTCAGAGTGACAGTCTTGACATTCGAGGCTTTACGCAAGGCAACTGCTAGCCATATACGCACAATAGCTCTTATTTGACGACATTATGTTTTTGATGTTTGTTAAACTCATCTGTTAGAGGTAGCTATCTAGTCATACGCACTACAGCTTATAGCTGCCACTGCCGACAGTCTTCGCAGCCTGGGCCTTATTGCCTTCCATGTCGAGCACTTCTCCCTTTCTATTAATGACCTTGACGCCGCCCTTCTTCAAGTCAGCCATGGTATCCTTCTTCTCCTGCGCCTTCTTGCTGATCGGCTGGCCCTGCTCGCCGCTCTTCTTCTGCCTCTCCTTCTCTCTCCTCCGCCTGCGGACCTTGTCCTCACGAGACAGCTCCTGCTTTGCAATTGGAAGGCCGCTCTTGGCCACCACCTCGCCCTTCTCCGCAGTTTCCTTGCTAGGATTGTAGACCTCCTGGGGGGCAATCATGCTCTCACCACCGCTGACGCCCTGGGCAGTGGTAGGCTGGGCATCTTCCATAGATATAGTAGCAACGTCCGCCACGACTGTGAGACTGGGAGCAGCCGGCTTCGGTTTGTAATGCCAGCTGCTAAGAGCGTCGAGCTTCGCGGACAATTCCTTCCACATCTGCTCAATCTCCTTCTCCTCTTTCCGTAGCTTCTCATCGGCCTTGCTTACGTATGTGTCGGGATTGGCATTCTTGACATGTTCCTCCTCGTATATCTCAGCCAAGCTCTTCTGGGCTTTCGAGTCATCAAGTTCGATCAGTCCGCGGCGGGTGTCAGTCGGGACATCAGCGTTGGGCCGTCGCCTGATGAGCTCATCAAACTCTCCTGCAATAATGCGTCGCTTGATTAATGCCTCTATGTCTTCACTAACCTCCTCTGTGATGACAGGGACTGGCTTGCCAATGTGTTCAAACTCAAGGTCCTCTTCCAAAAGAGAGTTCATTGGCCGGTCTGCGGCCGCAGCCTCACCAGACAGGGTCCAAGCACGCTTAGCAACAAGCTCTGACTCAAGCCTGCGGATCTCCTCCGCCAATTTTGCCTGTTTCCTCTCGTGCGCAGACCGCCTGGATCTTGGGTCGCCAGCAGACACATCGGAAAGAGCGTCTTCTGAATCGGAGCGTTCTGACAAATCTTCGAACAGATCACGTCGGACATCCGCCATGGCACGATCCACGTCTCTATCATCAAGCTCCGCTCGGGGGGGCTCGGGTCGTTTCCGGGGCTTATCTCCCTTCTTCAATTTTCTTGGAGGCGGCGCAAAGAAGTCCTTGTAGAAAATATCGTTTGCGGTGAGATCTAGTCCATCATCTAGACCATTGCCAACATCATCGCCGAACTCATCCTCGCTCTCTCCCTCAGGAGCATCGAGCCTCATATCACCAAAAGTCGGGCCGGCTTCTTCATCGTCATCTTCATCCTCGTCGAGAGGTAGCTCGTCTTCCTCTTCGACGGCTTTCTTGGATTTCGAAGCTTGCCTTGACGTGCTGGCTACAGACATGGGATCTGCATGCCAATCGAGGTCCTCTTCATCGCTGACTTGGTCGGTGTACGGGTCTGCCTTGGCATCCTGCTCCTCGAACCACTGTGTCTGCTTGTTGAAGTCGTCTATGCTGAAAAACCCATCGTTGAGCCCGTTGGGATCTTCTACGAATTCCTCATCCGGTGCATTCAAGTCACCTTCGCTTTCTTCGTTCTGATCACCATCTTCCTCAGCATCATCTTCAAGCTCCTCGGCAGCATCGTCGATGTCAAAAGAGCCAACCTCGTCTGATTCCTCATCTGCAGAGTCCTCGTCACTGCCACTACTGCCTGACTCTGAATCGGCGTCCGTGGAGTCCTCGTCACCAGATCCAACTTCGAACCCATCCTCGCCGAACTCCAGCATCTTAGCATCTCCATTGACCCCATTGGTCTCCGTCTCGATTTCATTATTCTCCTCGAGCTCCCGTAGCACCTCATTGGACTGGCTCAGAGCGCTTGAGATGATCCTCTTGGCCTGCTGCCAGACCTGACCCGTTTCGAATCCATCAACATGCACTTTACGGATCTTAAGGACCTCGCTCCTGTCCAAGCCGCCCTCACGTTTCCGCTTCTTCGCCTCCCTCAACTGCTGCTGCTGCTCGTCGCTGACCTGGCCGGCGAACGAGTCCAGTGTTACCTTTGCCAGCTGGAGGGAGGCAGAGGGTATCGACGCGGAGGGCTGCAGGAAGGCATGGCGGTTGGAGGGTCTGATCGTGTCGAGGAGAGCAGCCATGGCGGAGAGGTCGACGGCGGAAGAGGCGGTGCCCGCGGCGGCGAGGGACATGATGCCCGGGGCGTGCGTCAAGGTGTGGGAGGTCGATGTCAGAGAGGAGGAGGTGCTGCCGTCACCAGCCATTGTCTTGGCACACGGTGATGCTGTTGCAGTCGCCGGTCTCCGACTAGGAAGGAAAATTTCGTTGCAGGCGTGAGCTTCTGGTGCTGCTGCTTGCAGTGGTGCAGTGGCAGAAAAAAAATTAGAAATTTCAGGCTATTGCAACCCCGCCGAGAGAGGCTGAAGCGGAGTGACCAATTAGCGCCAACTGTGGCTTTTCACTGGCTGAGGACCCTGGAAAGACAGAAAGGCTGCCCCCACTTAAGCAACGGCTACGCTACCCTCTTGCATCCTAAGTCGCTCAACAACGGCCCTTTCCTGGTGACAATTGCCCTCTTTCTCAACTTTGAAGTTATGCACACAAAGTAGAATCGAGTAACGATTACTCGATCGACATGATTGAAAGATGCAGAATTTGACACAGCCGGCCAAGGAAGCCCAACAAGGGCTGTTGACTTGACAGTTCCGCTCAGCGGAGGCTCGAAATGCTACTGCATGACAGACCCGTCGCCTTACCTTTTTCGCTGACCGAGACTCCACATCACCGGCCACCACAATCACCAGCGAGCATCACATATCCTTCCAAATTGGCAGGAAATCGTGTGACCTCTTGTGTCTTTCCGGACGAGGTGGATTCATCAAAAGGGTCCAAGCACGCTAGCGGCACATGCGGCTATTCTCAGTCAACGTCATGAGACAGGCGCGAGCTCGAGAGAACGAGAGGAAAGGGATCGTTGTTGCGAAGCTGATCTTTGAATTTGAATGGAAAAGATACACCAAAATGGCCGATGGAGCACGTGGCAGTTCTCGGCCCGCAATCCACCACAGACGGTAAGCAGCGATGGGAAAGCGAAGATAAGGCCGGTATGCACGGCATGTTCCTGATCGGGTCTCTTGAACGCTAATGCTCACTGCATGCGGGTAATCAGAGGCATTATCGAATCGGCAGAATTGGAATGTTTAGTCGAGGTCTAGAATATGGAACATATGCACTACTCTAGCAGAGGAGGGGACGATCCCGTGTTTTCATTCAACTCAGAGCCAATGGCTGGTGCATCTGGCCCCCTGTCAAAGCTGCGGGCGGCTGCACTTCCCTACTACTCCGCAAGGTCGTGTTAAGTCTCCTCGATTCTTCAACAGAATCTCAGAAGCAGGCGGTGATCGTGAGAATTACGTAGAAGCAGGATAAGCGTCTCGAGACTATGCTCGGCCACGAGTGATACTCCCAAATGTAGTGGAGATGATTGAACTTCGTGCAATCCCTTCATCAGGGCGGGATGAGACTGTTGACGATTAGAGAGCTTTTCTGTGACTCTGGTCTACCACACCCTGCTCAACATCGCGTCCGTAATCGGCAAGGTGTTGACTCTTGAGAAAGATGTCAGAAATCAATTCAGCGCGAACAATTCATCTGCATTCTCCATTGGACAACCGAGCGAAAGATGCTGTATCTACGGCAAGTCGGGATAAGTCTTTGTTAGGCTAACCATTGGAGGGACGAGTGCATCAAGAGCCGAAAAGACTGTTACAAATACGCAGCTGATTTCTTGGTGGTGGTCACCCTTGAGAGAGGGGCAAAGGACTGGATGGCGTTTTTTCTGCAGCAGATCGTGATATTCCACGGCCGATGAGCGGAATCCGGCCGTCGCAGCTTGTGAGAATCCCCACGGGCATTTTCCCTTTCCCCATAGAAGCCAATTGGCGACTAGCATAGCCAATTCACCCAGAGGAATGTAGCAGATTGATCATCTACAAGAATCCTCAAAAGTACTGACGCTACTGGAAAGTAGAGAAGCGAGCTTCCTGCGGTGGGGGAGGTATGCTCGGTAGGTATATGACAATTGTCTGCCGGCAACCATCACGATGCAGGCAGGGTTTTCCGCTGCAGAGGAGGAGAAGAACCGCGAACGGTTCCTGGACTGAAGACTAGACGGCACTATCTTAGCTGCAAGTTAGCACGCACACCGTCGGCATCAATTGGGCCCACAGGCGACTACAGGACGCCAGTATGCTGCGTTGCTCCGCCCACGTGCATCTCTAGCAGCACTCTCCAGTGCACCAGTGCGCCAGTGCTGGGGCCAGCAGCGCCAATCCAACCCCACCCTCCAGCTCGTTCGGCTCCCTCCACGACGTAATACCGGTATAAGACAGGGTCACTGCCAGGGCAGGGAAGCCGCCTCCGAATCAAGGCCGCGCACCGAGTCAAACAAGCCAACGCCAACGCCAATGCCAATGCCAACCTCGCCGCCCAGAGTGTGGCTTTGTTCATGATCAGTCAATCTATCAGTCTCTTCCTTATCTCTCCTTCTCTTACTGTACCTTCTCTTAACAACACAGTTCTCGATCAACAGTCGTTTATCGCTCGAGCCTCATCTTCCCAGTGGCAATTGGCGTGAATTTCCGCCGGGGTGATCGATCTACGCTCTATCATTCTTATCTTCCTCCTACTCGGGCTATCACGCATCCAAGCAAGCCCGCCAGCCCGCCAGCCACCCATTGCTTCTTCCAACCGCACATTCGGTAGTCCTCCTGCCCTCGGCGCCGCCTACACGTCACACGGGTCTCAAATGAAGACGCAGAGGCAGTAACAGTACACCCAGGACATGAAATACGGCGACAACTTTGAGAGGGAATCGGTGCCGGAATGGAGCCTTCGTATGTGTTGTGTTGCTCTAACGTAATAATACTCCGCTGCATTTATGCTGATCATTTTGGGGGATTCCCCAATCCCAGATAACATTGACTACAACTCCCTCAAGCACTACATCAAGGTGCACACCACAAAGGACCAGGCGAGAGCCATCACTATCCTCGGCCATTCCGACGCCGCCCTCCTCAGAGTCGAAGATGAGCTCTACCTCGAGCTGTGCCGCCAGCACGACCGAGTCGACCTCTTTGTCGCATCAAAGGCCGACGAGATCTCCCGCCGCCTGCGTACGTCCTCCTCCCCACCTTTTCGTGCGATGAGAACAATAGCTAACATGACGCGGCCGCAGAATATCTCACCAGCCAGACCGGGCGACTCATCTCCAGACGCTCCGACGATGACGCCGGCAAGGTAACCATCAGACGGCAGCGCAAGCTGGCCAAGCGCGAGCGAGAGCTGCTCCGCATCGGTGACGAAATCCAGTTCCTGCAGCGCTTCGTCAATGCGCAGGTCGTCGCCTTCAGAAAGATCCTCAAGAAGTACAAGGTGAGACCTGAGCAACCCGTCATCGAGGATGCTGTGCGAGTGTTTCTTGGAATTTAGCGCTAATCCAGGTCTTGGCAGAAATGGACCGGCTCAACATCGCTCGGCACACGCTTCAGAGACAATGTGCTCAGCCACCCAAAGAGCTTCACCCAGCGTGATTTTAGGACCCTTCATCAAACCTACCAGGACCGGCTGGCGGCCATACGTGCCGCAAGTCCAGTGGACAGCGAGCCTGTAACGCCAGCTGTTGACGACATGCCTCCAACGCCATCGTATCAGAGCAATGGCCGACTGTCGCCAAGGCATGTCACCATCCAGGTGCGACCATCAGAAACACGCTCCTACCAACCCGAGGAGGTGCGGTACTGGAACGAGTACGACCACGGTAGTGAAGTGGGGGATGTCGACGATGGTTACGCCATCTATATCAATCCCGATGACGATCGTGCATTTCCTAACCTGATGAGTTTCCTGACCATGCCAATTGAAAAGACCAGAGCTTGGCTCGCAATCCGCCATCAACAGGCGAGCGATGCCCGGCAGCCACTGTTGCCCACTCATGCCAGTATCTCCGACAGCGGCTATGGTACAAGGGGTGACAGAACTCCCCCAACACAGGAAGATGTGGGTTACTTCACAAATCCGCCGGGCCAGTCTCCCGCCGGGCAGAGCTCCTCGGCCACGGCCGTAGATACCGATGCAGACGACGAAAACGAGAGCGAGGTCGGCTTCGAATACGCCTCGTCAGAAGAATTCCCCCTTGGCTACGAGGCTCACTACGCTTCCCTACCATCCATTGAGGAGCAACGGGTACTTCGCTACCGCGAGCGAGTCCTATTCTTTGGCACTGTGGGATGCTTCACAATCGCCTTTGCCCTGGTTGGCATCGCGGCTGTGCTCATATCGACCGGGCGCCACAAACTCCGTGTCGAGGTCGATGCGGGTGTGACGGTCGGCGTTGTCGTCAGTCTGGGATTGGCATGCACTGCGTTAGGCATGATGCTTGCTCGAAAAGACCAGCTGGGCACAATCAATAACGCCGCGGGTTGGATTGCCTTCGCAACCGTTTGTGTTCTTGACGGGATGCTCCTAGTTTTGGTGATGGGAAACACGACTTGATTCGAGTAGAATTGATCAAACTTGGGATGAACGGCACAACGGTAGTGTGCTTTGGGACGAATGATCCGGCGAACCGAGCCTGACCGGCTTAGGATGCCAGGTCTTCGTATAATGACGACGACGAAGATACCTGGATATGATGAGGCTTTGTGTCTCCAATGCGGGAGTTGAGGTGCATATGATTTGACTGTACATTGTGGGTTTGGACGGCCTAGGTCACGGATATAGGACCCGTTGCGGTATCGCGAATGGCCGACGGGTCACCTCTTGTACTTACATAATTTGCTTTGTGACATTGTCGCCATTATTCTTTCAGCGATCTAGATATAGACAAATACTATAGATTGAGCATTTCGGCGTCATCTTACTTCACGCAGACACTTTTATTGTCAACTTTAGGGCTCCTCTAAGGCTGGAAGTCTTCTCTAGTCTGAGCCTCCCGAAGGAATCTATGTCATCGCTGCAAGACAATAAGCCATATTCATTTGTATCCTGGATCGCGGGTCGAGTGCAACGGTCGTTGCCGATCTCACTGCAACTCGGTCGTTGTAGATGCTTCCTCCGTACGGACCGCTCCCTCCGCAAAACCCCTTTCGGCGTGCGATAAAGCTTCCACTTGCCAAACCTACACTGACATTCGCCTACGTTGTTTCACTCCGAATTTTTCTATGGTGTCTTTTCCTGCATTGCAATCAATTTACCCGGAAAATGAGCCCAATACCTCCATGTACAAAACGTCAACTCCGCGTTCCTCTGACCAATTCGACCAACCCTCGCCATCTCTTCATCTATATTCATCTATGACATACCCCAGATTCCTCAAATATGGTTGATTCCAATGCCTGGTCTCGGCTACTACCGAGCTGTGCGGACCAGGTAACTCCAGGCTGTCTTTATATATGAAGAACGGAGACGCCCTACCTTGCAACCATAGCAGGCATCTCAAAAAACACCCGTAGGGATATTCTGTGTGACTTTTGAGTTGGAGGAACAGACTCCGTCACCATGCTTCCAATCGTGCTCGCCACCATCGTTGCGCCGTTCATTGGCGCAGCACTTGCAAAGCCCGAGCAGATTCGCGCCGTGTCGGATCCGATCTTCCATTACTACCTGCAATCGTACCCTCAGAACAGTATGTTACACAGCATAGTCTCTCTTGCCAATGCCATGTAGAAGAAGATGTGCTCTAAGTAGTCTGCAGAAACAATCGCCGTCATGGGCCCCGAAGCGAGCTCCGAGTACTTCAACATCGGCGGCACAGTCCAGAGCACCAACACCAGCTTGTGAGTCCAGCTCCGAAGGATGATACTTCTTTAGGAATAAATCACTATCAAAGACAGTTTAAGAATGGAATGTTAAATATTTGCACTGGCCAGATATCTCAACGTCGGGAGCGATAGCACATCTTATAAGACGCTGACCTTCGGCACGACGGCAAGCACCAACGCCTGGGCGTTAGAAGGTGATACTATCATCACCGCTCAGAGCAGCACATGGGGAAGGCGTGAGTTTCTCGGGCTCTTTATCATTTCCTCTTTTCAGTACACATACACCAACAGCGAGGTATCTACAACATGGAGAGATTGCTGATGAGGGCCGCAGAACTTAACTTCTTGGCGTGTAAACTTGACGGATCTTACTGGCAGGTGTACTTGCAGACTGGAAGCGCAACTCCAAGCGGTCAGACCTGCAGTAACTACCAGTCATTACACTTGCCTTGTTTATGCTAGAAGCTATGGCAAGCTCCTACTGGCTATGTTGTGAAATACAAAGTCAATTTTACTGAGGCCCAATAAGGAATAACAGGGTTCTTTAACAATCATGAAGTTGATACGGGTTTAGTTTATGAAGATGGATGTTAAGGAAGATGGGGTTATACCCAAATTGGTGGATGTATTTTCTTGTGAGAAAGTATACCTAGAATATTCACATCATCTCTACGTCTTCCAGATAGCCATTGATGGTCAATCATGCCTGGTAGTTCTAGAAGTCAGCTATGAGATTAAATAATACAAGTGTCTTGATCTAATGGGGCAATCTTGGAGCTCTACTCCGGGAGCGGTCATACTAGGCTTCAATTCTCAGATATAGCTCAGTCACGAAAAACCTATTCAGCAATATCACAGAGACCAAGCTATCCTCTGTTGGATTCAGGTGTAGCTCTATACGATTGAACGACTACTGAAAAAGGGCAGTAGTGCCTACTCTTTACCATACTAAAGCAGAGCCGCTGTTGACCAACGCACACATAATATGATCTCCTGGCTGCATCTTAGTCGAGCGCGGCCAAGATCCTCTTGACCCAGTGAATATCGACTGGATCAAGTCAGAGCTTCAGAAATCAGATATACTGCTCAACAAGACACAGACAGCCAAAGGACCGGAGTTCCTGCCAACTCGTTTGATCGATGTTGGCGGGGAAGAAGACCTGGATGCAAAGCTGGTCAACTCGACCGCTTTTGCGAGGAATGGCCTCGACCCGACCAGCTATGTCACACTAAGCTACTGCTGGGGCTCGGATGAAGATGCAAAGCGGCAATTAAAGACATTGAAAAATACCCTGAAATTCCTACTATATGTCTATACCACTCGAATCCAATTAGCCCGTAGTTAAGGATATAGTACGGGTTTGTAGAGTTCTACTTGTGAAGTATGTATGGATTGATGCCTTGTGTATTATTCAAGATGACAAAAATGACTGGGACAGTGAAAGCCAAACAATGGGCCAAATTTACCATCATGCATATTTTACCTTGTGCCCCACTGCTTCACGTACCTGCCATCAGTCCTTCTTGAACTTACGCGACCTTGGGCCGAAATTCCCTTTCTCCTCTAGGATAAAGAGAGGCATCAAAGGCAATTTCAGGATATACGAAAGTCACAATGATCGAGATAACTCACGAAAGCGAGCTTATTGGGATCAGCATCACAGAATAGACCTAAGCTCGCCGCTGAATATTGACAAAGCCTTGTCACACTGGGTGACGAGGGGCTGGACATTCTAAGAGAAGATTTTTTCCAGCCGCATACTGTACTTTGGCAAGTCCATGGTGCATCTCAAGAATGTGAACCAGACCAAGTCAGAGAATGGATTTCCGGATCCAGGCTTTCGGAAGATCTTCCTCTTACACGAATTGGCCAAAAGGATCCAACTTTGACAATTCTTTAAAGAAGGCTCAAGACCTAGCGACGAGGAACTGGAATAGCTTCATTACGTCCATTCCGAAGCGGCGGTTCTCAACGATAAAGGATCTTTTCCCCTCCCTCACTGGCCCGGCGAAACTGTACGCTGAAGCCATGAATGACACCTATTTCGCAGGATCGTGGAAGAAAACGCTTCATTTTGACTTACTCTGGTTGCTCACACTTCCGCCACGGAGAACCCTTGCTTTCCATGTCACTAGAACTCAGCACCAGGAGCCTTTCGTAGCGCCATCGTGGAGTTGGGCACCTCAAAGGCATCGTTTTAAGACGTTATATCATTTCGCGGCTCCAATCTTCGACGATGAACAAAACTTGGCACGCTGGGAGACTGGGTCAAGCCATTACAAACCAGAGTTCATCGTTCTCGACTACGAGCATGTACTTGAGGGACATAATCCGTATGGGCCTCTAAAAAGCGCACGCTTGATATTAAGGAGAAAGCTGGCCCCTCTGCCATCATCCATTCTGATGCATCCGTGGCAGGAGGAGCTTCTGCATCCAGTAGTGTCAAAAAAGGCCGTAGGCTTCAGTTTCAACCCGCATGCTACCTTCTACCTAGATTGGTCATGTCCAAAGGTGGCCGTTCTGAAGCCAGAGCACATGATGCTGTTTTTCACACTGTCAGGATGTCAACCAATCAGTAACGCTTGGATGAGTCCTCATATCGGCTCTAAGGATAATTACAACATAATCCGCTACAGCTTTGAGTCTCAGGCTATAAGCGAGGATCGCCAGACATGCTCTTTCCGTTTAGATAAGAAACACAAGAGGAATGTATAGGGAATCTTCGTGAAGCCTACTGGCACATCTGGAACATATTTTCGAGTGGGCATTTTTGGTCTCTATGGTGCCTTTGGAGGCATGGAGGTGTATAATCACGCAGTTACACAGGATGTCGTGCTTATCTAATCTTCACTTTCATTATTCATCTCAAGCATAATCAAGCCAGATGCAAAGCGATATGATGACGATTGCCCAGCTTAGTTTATATTAGATTTCATACCGAATATTGTCAGCCGTCGTCATCCATGGCGAGGAGGGAGAAAAATTATATATCATGCGTTTAGAAAGAAATTGCAGTTACCATCCTCGAGTTTAGTAAAGGAGACAAGTGTTAAGGATTGATGGAATTTCAATCTGTTGCTTCTTGATTCAACAACTGTGGAGACAGGGAAGTCCAGCGTCATCAACCAATGATATAACTTGTAAGATAATGCGGATACGCCCTGTCTGAGACGGCGAAGCCCCTGTATTCGCACGCTACCTGGGTAACCAAGAAATCATGCGAGAGACCATATCGGCTAGACGAAAGGCCAGCAGAGGATTGAACCAGGATTCAAGTACAAGTTTCTGGAGCATAGTTGTCACGACGTAGTGTGTACTGACGTCTGCGATGCGGAAAAAACCACCCGGAACCAATTCGGTGGGCCGGAGTGTCCCGCCAATCCAACCAATCACAGCAGAGCCTTTTTCGATTAACCAGGTGTGGAGGCGAAAAGCCATCTTCGGGAATCACAACGTCAACCAACCGTGGGGAGGCGGCCTTCAACTTCTGTCCATCGCAAACAGACCCTCCACGTCGAAACCTCTCCACTCCCTACCCGTAGGCGTCGTCGTCTCCCTCCGAAGCCTGCATCAAGATGGCAACATCATTACGGACCTCGGCCTCAATGGCTCTGAGAGGTGCGTTGGACCTCCCCAGCTCTCCCTCAAGCTGTGGCACAGCTACTCGCCCTTTGGTCACTGGGGAGAGCATATTGAGATTGAATTGCTGACATTGCTTCAATCGCAGCCAAGCCGACGACTCACCTCATCCCGTACCGATCCATCGCCGCTATCTCCTCCTCATCACGCAAAGATGCCGCCCCGGCACAGCACTCCGTAACGCCGCATAGCGCGTCCGGCCTCCTCCAGCGGAAGGAGGTTCCTCTAGCGAGCCAGGAGGGCACAAAGGGTGTTATCCAATATGCACTGTATGTATTCGCACCCCTGCATCGGTTTCGCATCGGGTTCTGTACGTTGGCTGCAAGGGACTCGGCCGAGACAGCAGAACCAGAAAGCGTGAGGGAATTGGCTCACTGACACTCCTCCCCCTCTCTCCAGGACCACGCTCGACATAATGGCCAACTGGGCGCGGCAGTCGTCGCTGTGGCCCATGACCTTCGGGCTGGCGTGCTGCGCCGTCGAGATGATGCACCTGTCCACGCCGCGCTACGACCAGGACCGCCTGGGCATCATCTTCCGCGCGTCGCCGCGCCAGTCGGACGTGATGATCGTCGCCGGCACGCTGACCAACAAGATGGCGCCCGCCCTGCGCCAGGTCTACGACCAGATGCCCGACCCCCGCTGGGTCATCAGCATGGGCTCCTGCGCCAACGGCGGCGGCTACTACCACTACAGCTACTCCGTCGTCCGCGGCTGCGACCGCATCGTCCCCGTCGACGTCTACGTCCCCGGCTGCCCGCCCACCAGCGAGGCCCTCATGTACGGCATCTTCCAGCTGCAGAGGAAGATGCGCAACACCAAGATCACGAGGATGTGGTACCGCAAGTAGATGGCACATGGCCGGACACTCGGTGCTGTGGAGTCGCGGAGAAGAATTGGGATGGCGGAGCTCAGAAGCTCTCGGCCGGAACTGGATGGACACCATGGAAATTGCATGGCATATTCTTTGCGGTTACTAAAATCGCATATCTTTCTTTTGTCTGGCCAGTCATGTACTGTACATATAACGCTAGAACGCCAGGTAGAAGAATACAGACGGGGCTGTACACTATGAATTCAATGCTACTGCGCTCTAAGCAGACCTCCTAACACCCTCCTTCCTTCCATTTAGGCGAAGGAATATGAGTGAAGGATTATCCCCGCCGGTCCTGTAAGTATTTGGGGCTATGGTAAGGAGCCTTAGAAATCAGAGTAGTCCATGTCGATCTTTGTTTGGGATCACAATTAAGAGATAATTATATGATGTCTAATCGTTTGAGCGAGAGTGTATCAAGAGCAACATGTTATATAGGAGATACATCGTACATAAAAACCTCCTAGTCTCCTCCCAATGATGTGAATGCTTTGTGTGGAATGTCCGTCATTGATGCAGGGTGCAGTAGTTGTACTCACGTCTCGCAATTCAGCCAGGGGGGAGGCTCCCGACGGCCATCTGCTCATATTATCTCAACCACGCATACGATTGCACTGCGCCACTCCTCGCTGACCGCCAATATACGTCCCCAAACGCCAGACTGGTTTGGAAGGGTAGATTTTAATGGCATGCGCTTTGCATAGCCGAACCAATTTGCCCTCCTCCTCTATATACAAAATACAACGAACGTTGGATTACTCCTGTCCGAAACCCATCGTCTCTTCCACAGCAATCGTCAACTTCCCCTGTAGCATGTCGAGATTCTTGTACGGTGGCAGATCTAGACGGTTGAAACTGTGGAGATACGTTAGTATAAGAGCCTTATATTCACAATAAAAATACAACATACCAGGTGTGCGCCTTTGGCAGGTTCGTGATTTCTCCAGCCTTCTCAATCGTGAAACGTCTCGGTCCGTCACTTCCTTGTAGATCCTTGAATCCGTTGACAGGGATACGGGACGTGCCAGTAGCAAATTGCAAAAGACGACTCTTCTGCTCGCCGTCCCAGCTTCGGATTGTTTGCCAGAAGTATTGAATGACCTCGTCGCTTTCAGTGTACCCACGATAATCGGTGTGCTTCTTCCAGTCATCGACGTCGATCTCAGCAATACCACCAATGAGCAGCTCCAACTCACGCTCATCAAAGACATTGATGAGATCTTGAGGAATGAGCTCATGGAAACCTTCCTTAAAGGCCTGGAACTGCTCGGCAATGCGCTTCTCAATGCGCCACTTCACCATGAGATCAACATACTCCTTCTTGTTCTCGTTGGTCACATCGATGTTACGGCCATTGGGGATCAGATCCTCAACTGTGATGACACCAAATCGCTCATCCTCGGTGGAGAATGTTTGCTCGAGGATTCCTCCAGAAATATCATTGTCCAGCATCCATTGTAGTGAACGGTGGAAATCAGCATCCACACCCTCCATATCAGCGAGCTGGACTGATTTTCCAAGGATCATCTTGTACAGCGCTCCAATGAAGAAGGCATCCAAGAAACGCCTGTGGAAAATGGCAAGACCAACAACACGGCCAATGAATTTGAAATAATTAAGATGCTCTGGGTTGATACCCGAGTGAGGGTTGATTTGTAGGGTGTAGTTGTCGTGGGCAGAGTACTCGAACAAGCAGTAGAAGGGGTTGAACATCTCGTGAGAAAGGAGGAAGAAGAATTCTCTTGAGAGACCACCGTAGTCGAGACCGTCCTCTCCGTCAAACTTGATCATTAGTCGCTTCTTCAAATCAGTAGCAGATTGGCGAGAAATCTCGGCAAAGGAATCCTCGAAAATGTGCGATCTTCGCACTTTGATGTGGCATTGTCCGGAGAGGATGCGCATGGCAGGTTGTGACCGGAAGTAAATGAGCTTCCTACGGAAGTCTCGCTTGTACTGCGGTACGTTCTGGTCCAGAGAAGACGGCAGTCTAGGATCATCCCAGGTTGTCGTCTTAGTGTTGTGATCGACGAAGTAGACACGGGCAGTGTTAGTGAGCCGCATCTCCCACCCACTAGGTAGTGGCCCCAACTGTGACACCGGCTGCTGTTGGATGGTTCCATTGGTGTTGTTTTGGCCATACATGCGGATATACTGCTGTCGGCGAGGGTCAACCCATGTAGTTGTGCGCGTATTATGGTCAACGAAGTAGGGTCTGCCCTCGGGTGTCCACCTCTGCTCCCATCCCGGCGGCAGTTCGCCCGTTCCAGGGCTCGTAGCTCCCGTATGCATCATGGTCTGGGCATTGGCATTCTGGGTCGCTGCCTGTTGCGTTTGGAGTGTTGGCGAATTGGCCCCTGTGCGATCTTCGGGAAGTGTTCGATTTTGATGTCTTTGTCGCTCCACTTGTGTCGCCTCTTCCTGACGCTGAGTGTTCACAGCACCGCTGGCAGTTGGTCGGGTCCAGCTCGTCGTTCTCGTATTATGGTCTACATAGTACGTTCTACCCAAGTTATCTTCACGACGTTCCCAGCCGGCAGGCAAGCGTCCTTGAGCATCTTCGAATGGGCTCAATGTGCTGCTCGTTCTAGGATGGCCGGTGGTGCCGTTCGGCTGGGGAGCCGAGGGTGCGGTCATGCTCCCCGGTCGGTGAGGTAGATTCAACGATGAGCCTCCATTAACGGCCCCGTTTGGTCCAGACATGGCGGAGTTTGGTCTCTCAGCAACTCGATCAGGGGCAATGGAGGACAAGTTCGAACCCTGGGGTGCAAGTAGAGATGGACGGCTGCTGGATGCGGACGGTTGTTGTTGGCCGCGGGGAGGGGAGGTCAGATTAGTCGACAGATTGATGATTAGCTTTCCATGGACGACTAGGTTATCAGTAGACTTTTTGAGATCCCGGGTGAGCATTTGATCTATTCAGCGTATGTTAGCGAAAGGCCTAGCCGCAAGGCATTACACCAGCACATACCGTCGGCATCTGGAGCAAGTTCGATAATATCCCCGATACGGATATTGATCACGCCAAGGAAGCCTTGATCCTTCTTCTTGAACTTCTTCTGGTCAAACACCTGGACCGCGAGGATACTGTCCTCGTTGACTCGACTGGAGGTCATGTGTCAGTGCAACTCGTTGATATGTATATCGGATGGAAAGGTTTGCGTACAAGTCGAAGCTCTCATTCCAGTAAGGGTTGAGTGTCCGTTTGGACACGGCGGTCGTCTTGGTCTGTTCACCATTGATAGTAGCCACAGCGAAAGGGTCGGGAAATCCTGCGATAATGTGAGACAAAGATAGGAACACGATTCATGGGGGGACATGGGACATACTGAAGACATCTCGCTTATACAGGCCGTCGGCGGCGATGACTATGGTGAAGATGATGTCAGTAGGAATGCGCAATGAGGGATAATGGCGTTCATACTTGTAACCCGAAGGTTTGCCTGGCTACTCGCAGGAATCTGTCAGCACGTGGAATCCGCAAAGGGTGGCATCGTGATAGTACTTACGGAGGCAGCCCAGCGTCTCCTCGACCGCTCATCTTTGATCGCAGTGGATGATGGCACGCTGGCTTGACTTTCCCACGATCTCTTGCTCAAAGACCTCAAAGGGGTCGATGGTTCTATAGACGCTGTATGATCGGTTCGTCAGAGGAAGGTAGGATGGAAAGGCTGGCGGTTGACGACGACTGCAAGCCAGAAAGGTAAGGCACTTGAGGCTGTGCTCTCGGGTACCCCCGCCCTTGGTCGCTGTTTGGTGGGAGGCTGGCTGCGACCGGGAAACGCTAGAATGACGCGGCGAAGACGACAAGATTACTCGAGCGGGAATGCGTCAGGACCAGCCCGGATGTTGGCAATCGCAGATGATGGAAGCGATGCTGTCGTGTGGGCAGCAGCTCTTCGGCCGAATGGTGATGGAGGCGTGAGTAGGTAGGCAGGTAGTTAAAAGGATTACTATGCTAACAAGGCATGATGTGTGTGGTCTCAGTTACCTCAGCATGGAAAGAGACGAGGGGTACGCCAGTACGCTACGACACTACGACAGGCCCGGGAACGGGTGCCAAAAGGTTGCAGTGCCAAGAAAGTGGGCGAACCGAAGGCGAGCGGCCGGACTGAGAAAGGTTCCAGGTTGGCCACAAACGGCACCAGCTTACCTCCCCTCGCTCCCCCAGCCAGCGACGTTCAGCGCTGCAGTTGTGGCTCTGTGGCTCTAATAAAGGAGGGGCAACAAACACACTCTACCAAACCTTACATAACCGCCTAGACTAGATTTCCCGTCTTGAACTGCGCCTTGTGCGAAAAAGGTCGACTGATGATGACAATTGCTGAATCAATCAGCACATCGAACAATCGAGATACTCTAGGGCTGCTACACCTGTGGATTGCATCGCATCGCATCGCATCGTATCTTTTTCGTATCAATATCTATCTACTATCTAGTGCATGGCCCACTAAGCGGACACTAATGACGGACGTGCTCAGATTATCGAGTCTCTCTCTGGCTTGGTTATGTTATCTTGAGCCCTTCGAGATGTCGATATCTTAAGTAGCTTGGTAGTGAGTGACTCAAGCAAGCAAAGGCGTGCTGCAAGCGTCGATCGCCACCCAGCAAATCACTCAGTTAAATCAAGTCAATCGATTTCTGCTCCTCTGCACCTCCTCCATATTAGTCAAGAATGGAGACCATTGCCGACATCGCGCCCAGGCCATAAGGAGTTGATGGACCTAAAAATAAAGGAGAAATCCCCTCATCGTCCCTCTCCTCTCCTTATCTGTTCAGGATGATTCATCCTCTCTGTCTCCCGGCCGCCCATCTTATCCGTCTCTTGCTCCTCGGGATGCTAGTATGAACTAGACGCGTCGCGACGAAACGGGCAACCCAAGAGCTATTTCTGTAGTCAAGATAGACTAGGTAGGAGCGGGGATTAAGCGTTTTTGTGATGAACAAGGCGCACTCTGCAGTACTGGCTGGTATTCATAGCAACAAACCACATGCTGGTTGCTTGGAGGAGTGCATGAGATGTGCAGCTCCTGCTTCGACCCCCCCACCACGGCGCCAATTGCTCGACAGGGATGGCCACCAGAAGTCGTAGACTCGCACGTGCGGCATGTTTCCTGTCTCTGCTGCAATGGCCCAATGACGTTGAAAGTCCAGACCAACCCGGCGAGCAGAATCACCGCATCGCATGAGCCTGTGAGGTAATTGAGACCCAGTTAAGTGCGGCAGCATGCGCGGCCACCGGCTATCTGCTATGCGGACACCGTCATTGTGGTTCGGTGGAGAAACGCCGCTGCCAGTCAGTCAATCAACCTTGGGAAGCTCTGGACCTCCCAAAATGCTCTCGACTCTCGGAGCTATCGTCGCCCGAGCTCGACGACCTATTACATGCCACTCAAAGTGAGGCGCGCAGCTCTATAAGACCGTTAGATTAAAGCGTCTTCTCGACGTACTACAAATCCTTCCATCTGCAGAGCTATTCTCTCGCAATGTGGAATATGATCTGAAAGGCTGCCAATGTAAATGTAAAGATGCAATAGGACCTGATCCTTTTCCCTTTCCGGAGACGCCTTGAATGAGCCAACTATGGCGGCCATGACAGCTGGCCTGGCACGTCGGTTGGCTCAAACTTCTATCATACACATCCGCAATGGCCACTACCGTCACATCATAAGGCAGAGCCTCGTTCTCGTCTCACCTACATGACCTCGGCCATGTAGGATCTGCCCTAATAAGGTGCATACCCTCGGCCACGGCCACGGTAGCCACCACGGTATCCGCCCCGGGGGTTGAAGCCACCCCGTCCGCCGAAGCCGCCTCGTCCTCCCCGGAACCCTCCTCTTCCACGTCCTCTGCTCATGCCGGGGACGTTGGTCCGCTTCGGAACGACTTTGATATTTCGGCCCTTGAAGACACTCTCGTTTAGAACGAGGGCCTGCGCGACCAGGCTGGGCTCCGTAAACTCGACGTATGCGTATCTTCACAACATGAAATTAGCAACTATGATCTCGGCGACGAAATGCGCGCTTGTTGTTACCCCTTTGGCTGGCCCGTGAACTTGTCCAGCAAGATCGTAACGCGGTTGATGGAGCCGCAGCTCTGGAAATGCGCCTGGATCTCCTCGGGCGATGCTGAGTAGTCGACGTTGCCCACGAAGATGCTGCGACTGTCGACGTCCTCTTTGTTCTCCGACAATTCCTGGCTTTGCTGGTCAAGGCTGGCCTGCATCTCGCGAAGCTTCGCCGCTTCCTCCTCCATCTCGGCAACTCGTCGCTTCATGGCGGAGATCTCCTCCTTCGCCCCGAATTAGCAAAAAAGTCTCCTGTATCTCTTGTATTTTCGTCTGCGATTTGCGCACCTCATCGTTGCCATCTTCCTCCGCAGCCGGGGGGTCGTTGGGGACCTTGTCCTCTGGGTTCGTGTCCGCCATCATGTATGTATAACCTGTATTTTAGTACGCACGCATGCAATCGAAAAAGAATTCAAGGCGGTCTAGATAAGAATATGTTAGCCTAGTTTACCATTGTCATAGGAGCGGCACCAGCGAGTTTGTGCGATTGTCGCATTTCAACCAGGCAGCCAGGTCGTTGCTTAGCAGACAAGGCTTTGTTGACTAGCTTAGACATAGGGATAGAAACGAGTGCTAGGTGATTGCCTTATGTCACTCACCAGTTGTTGTGTTGTCGTCCAAAGTTGACTTCGAGCGCTGGGCCTATGCGAAATCAGAAACGCGATGTCGTCTGCGAGTTGAGAAAAGTTGACGGCTGGAGGTCGAAATGCCGACTAATGTACAATGATTGAATCTCTGCGGCAAGATTGATGGCAACGCCCTCCCCACGCGATGGATTTCGATCTGGTCCGAGCTCGATAAGCTGATAACTTGGCAGGTCACGTGGACAACTGGGAGCTTCAACATCGCGACCCTTGATAGTAGTGACATCAAGGATGATCAGTTCCACTGTCAACCATTAGCAACAGGTCTCTATGGTTGACAGAAGCTTTTGAACCTAATGATTGGTATTGTGCAGCAATGAAACAATTACAATGCCGAATCCACATGTGTTTACTACTTTTTATTACCAAGGACCATTTGAGCTCGAATTAAGCCCCGAATAAGAGCTTCAAGTAATAAGGGAGTTCTCCATCTGTAAGCTCTACCACTTCTGGATTGATTGATTTCATTTTTGCCGGTTGATGGCTTTAATGCTCGCGTGCGACGATGGCAATGGAAGATTGTCCAGGCAACAGTGATCTCTTCACGTCGTCAGGTCTTGCATATGGAGCTTTCGATGAGGTAAACAAACTTTTGAGCTCCCATGGTTTCATTATTGCGTCTTTCCCTATTTCTAAGATTTATTTCGTCATTTGGTCAATTTGTTTGGTAGACTCCGTCTCTTCTCCTTCTCAGGTGCGCAAGCAAACATTTGCTATGGTTTGCTGTTTCCGTGGCTTAACCTCTGACGCCTGAGCATCGAACCCCCTGCAAGGCGCCCAGGGTCACGAAACTCCGAGCACAGACAACCCCTCTCCATCCCCAAGAGCATCATATTCCTTCATCTCGTGATAACACCAAGCTATCAGATACAAGATGTCGCTCGCTCCGCCAGCCGCCAAAGATGGATTCTCCTACGCTGGGGATTCCATCTATGTCGAGGCCAGTGGCCACAATCGCCATCGACGGGCCACGATCCCCGAGCTCAAGGCTCATTTTAAAGGCTCCAGCGACGTGAAAGATCCCCCTGCCCACTGGTACGAGGCTCAATTGCTTCACTATGGCCTTCCGCCTTCAAAGGCCAAAGGCACTGCCAAGATGCGCTTAGTCGAAGCCGTCAGCAAGGGAAAAATTGCTGTTCCTGCTCATATTCAAAAACTTGAGACAGATCTGAAGAAGGAGTGGACGAAGAGTGAGAGTGAGGCGAAGAAGGCTCTCAAGCCGCAAGCAATTCCAGCTTCAGCGACTAAAGGCACGAAGAGAAAGGCAGATACTACTGTTGTTACTGCCACCAATATCAACTTGAATCTATCATTCTCAGTCAACTCTGCCGGTTCAGTGCAGATCCAATCTGCGGTACAGCCCAAGAAGAAGGCGAAGATAGCCGGGAGTTCTACAGCAGAAAAGGCACCCAAGCAACCTGTCAAGGCCCCGGCCAGCACTGCAAAGAAAGCTCCGGTAGCAAAGATCAAGGAACAGAAGACATCACCCGCTGTTTCCAGTAAGGCCGTAACTACGAAGTCTACCCCGGCGAGTAAGGCAACGAAGATATCAAAGCCCAAGGAGTCCAAAGCAGCAAACTCTGCTCTCAAGGTTCCCAACGAGAAAGCCGATAGGAAGACACCACGAAAGCCACAAACTGCTAGACGAGGTGGTGCCACGGCTGGTAACAGAACCAAGACTTCCGGTCAGGTTGCTACTCCGTCTTCTTCTAAGGCTCCTCCACTTCCTTGTACCAAGCAAACGGCTCGTCGAGGAGGTACTTCCGCCGCTGGCAATGCCAAAGGTCCGAGTCGCGCAGGGCAGCAGCCCTCGCATGAATTCTCTCACACTCCTGTGAAGATGAAGCAAACTGCCCTTCGTGGAGGAATGCAGGGTGGCGGAAGAGCTACCATCCCTAGTGCTTCCTTTGGAACTACCGAGGATTATGATGAACCTCCGCCGCCATACACAGAATTTCCTGACGAGAATCTCGATGAGGCAGCAAATGGCAACTCAGAAGATGAGGGATATGATGACGAATACAGCGATCTTGATAGAGATGGTATGGACGTCGAGGATGACTATGACGGCAACGACTCCGAAGAGGAATTGGCGCCACTTGGCCTCCTCAATGGTCGATACGACATTGAATGCTCCGCTCTGTCTGCCGCATCCCAGGACCTCGATGTCGACTCTGGCCTAATTCTTACGTTGGATGGCAATTCGCTATGGGGTTCATTCGATATCTGCGGCATTAATGGCATCTTTCGTCTCCCTGAGCGACCTTGGCAATCATCTCACGAAGGACTACGCATTGCTTGGCGTGGGAATGATGATGAGGGCAACACCTTCCGAGGCGATGACCACCGTGGTGACATTTGGTTCCTGGGCGGAGGCCGAATTAAGGGCGAGATTCTATCAGAGTACGATGGATGGTATGAGTTTCATGGCCAGAGAATCAGTGGACAGGAGACCCGAAGCGAGATCAGTGCCTGGTCAATGAGGCAACAGTGGGACGAACTCGACTGGTGACCTACTACTGTGGTAGTATCGTGTATGAGGCAGTAAAATTCTTGCCTCCACGACCTTAGGCACCCAATTTTGTGATTGTCCATCGATGGCCGCTGTCCAAGGCAGCGATCTATGTGTCTGGGGCAACCTACGTGCTTGTCGAATTTGTATTGGCATTTCAGTTCTAATACAAAGACATCACATGCAACAATCATAGAGATCGGAAAAATTAAAGCAAAATGAGTAAGTATATCGGGGCCAGCTCCGGCTTGTACTCTCAATTGGGCCGGAATGATTTGAGAAAGTGGTCAGGGGTACGATGATTGCATACCCTAAACCTATGAACACTCATGTCTCATAGGGGACTTGCAAACTCATTAGATCATAGACTAGACTGTCCCTGCGTGATAACATAGATGTTTCCGAATGAATTCGTACTCTGGTGAAATCCAATTCTCCATTCATAATTGTAACCGGTGATACCTTGAATCTGCTCCTCCGCCCGGGTAATAAAGGTTAATTATTGAAGGGTGAAGATGCTCAACATCGAGAGTTATGATACTCATCAAGATCTCGAGTATTCTGTTCATTACTATGAGTCTATCAACTTCTAGAAAGGTAGTAAACCCTTGTTGAGGAGGTAGTGATTGATACCCTTATCAAACTAACATTTATTACACTGGCGTGGGAGTAAATGAGGATGCCTGAATAATGATCGCCCTTAGTGGGTCTACACCTGTAACAAATCAGCCACAGGGGATCATCCTGCCTTTCAGGCCAGGCCAAGGAGCGGTTTCAGCCACGAGGCAGTCGTCATTCTTCTGCTGCCCCGCAACGCCTCTGGGACTGAGTTGCCCCTCCAAAGCTAGTAGCTGTGTCGAAATAGGTACCCAAATATAAGACCAGCTTACATCCAGGTTTCAAGATAATCTCCGTCACACTGAAACCCGGACTATCTTCCTCATAGCTCTTCTTTTCGTATGCTTTGGTCTGGCAATCAAAATGTCTATTACCATCGAGAAGATCTTAGCGGCCTCCCCGATCACCACTCGGGGACAGCCCACACAGCTCTCCACTGATGCCAAAGGGGAAAGGATAGCATATGCTGTAAGTCGATGTATTCACATCCTTGGCCTCTATTCAAGATCCCAATTCTAAGTTGTAGTAGTCAGGAAAGTCGATCTTCGTTCGCTCCATCGACAACCCAGCCATTTGCAAGCAGTACACCCAGCACACCGCAGCGACCACCGTCGCCCGCTTCGCCCCCTCCGGCTTCTACATAGCATCCGGTGACGTCTCGGGCACTGTGCGCGTGTGGGACGCTGTTGAGGCCGTCAACACCAAGGGCGAGTACCACATCATCAGCGGGCGCATCAATGATATCGCGTGGGACGGCGACAGCCAGCGCATCATCGCCGTGGGCGACGGCCGCGAGCGCTTTGGGCACTGCATCACGGCGGACAGCGGCAACAGCGTCGGCGAGGTCTCTGGGCACAGCAAGGTCGTCAATGCCGTCAGCATGAGGCAGCAGCGGCCGTTCCGCGCCGCCACCGTGTCTGACGACTCGGCCATGTGCTTTTTGCACGGGGCGCCGTTCAAGTTCGCCGCGAAAAGTGACATCCACAAGGGTTTCGTGTTTGGAACTGCCTTCAGCCCGGATGGCAGTGCGCTGGTCACGGTCGGGGCGGATCGGCGCATCCAGCTGTACGATGGCAAGACGGGGGAGGCGACGAAGCAGATCGGCGAGGGTGTACATAGTGGCAGCATCTTTGCTGTGAGCTGGGCAAAGGATTCAAAGAGATTCGTCACAGCGAGCGCAGACCAGACTGTTCGTGTATGGGACGCCGAGTCCGGAGAGAATGTGCAGACTTGGAGGCTGGGTGAAGAAGGCAGTGTCAATGTCAACGACCAACAAGTCGGCGTTGTATGGCCTCATGGTAGGAGCGACGGCCTGATTCTCAGTCTTAGCTTGTCTGGAGACCTGAACTATTTGGCAGAGGGTAGTCCAAAGCCTATCAAGGTTGTTCAGGGCCACAATAAGAGCATCACAGCAATAGGGGCAGCATCGGATGGGAAAGGGGAGACCGTATACACCGGCAGCTTTGACGGCCTTGTGAACCAGTGGAATATCGGGACTGGACTTGCCACGGCTGTGGATGGGCAGACTCACACCAATCAAGTCACTCAATTTGCCACTTCTTCTGGAAGGACATACAGCGTTGGCTGGGATGATACACTTCGCATCGTAGACGAATCTGCAAACACATTTGCCGGTTCCTCACAGAAACTCAGTGGCCAGCCGAAGGGTGTTGCGGCTTCAGATGGCCGCGTGGTTGTTGCGACAACCTCTGGAGTCGTGGTCTTTTCAAAGGACCAGTTAGTTGGTGAGACAAGCACGAGCTTCAGCCCTACTGCTATTGCTGCTTCAGGGCCAATTGTCGCAGTCGGCGACGGCAACAATGTCCGCGTGTATAAGCTGGACTCGAGCAGTAAGCTTTCAGAAGTGGTCACGCTGAAGAACTCCACGGCTCAGATCTCGGCGCTCGCATTTTCAAAAGATGGTTCCTATCTCGCGGCTGGCAACTCAACAGGAAAAATCATTGCGTACAAGACGAGCGACTGGAGCGTCGGCACGGATCGATGGTCAGCGCACACTGCTCGGGTGATGAGTATCGCCTGGAATGATGCAGGAACACACACTGCCAGCGGTGCGCTAGACACGAACCTGTTTGTATGGAGTCTCGCAAAGCCGGGAAGCCGTGTCAAGGCATTGAATGCCCACAAAGATGGGGTCAACGGTGTTTGCTGGGTAGGTGATAAGGTGGTCAGTACGGGCGGTGATGCGGCGGTGAAGATCTGGGCGGCGTCGAATTTACAATGAGCGACAGAAATCAGCAGCCATGAGACACATGATTTGATGATAGAATCAATTTCTTGAGGCCTCCTGGCCCCTTTTCAATACCGTAAAACTCCGTGAACTTTCGTCAAGCAATCCAGATGCATCAACTTTGGGTATCTTGTCCTAAAAGCCAACCGTGTAATGTCAAGAACTCCTATCCTCTGTCTCTCCTCCCACAAGTGCCTGTACTCCCGGCGATCCATTCACACCTTTGCAGATGCTGCCGAAACCCTTCCTTTCCATGCTTGTCGTGTCTGAGGTAGTAAAGTGTAGGATTTACCAGAAGAAGCGGGTGATGCTTCGGGGCACCCAGCCCCAGCCTGTCTGACGCCCGGCGTCCTGAGCTTGGGCAACTTGACGCTCAAACTCGACCACCTTCTCGGGGTCGCCGGCAATAAAGTGGCTGAAGGCATTCTCAAGACAGTCGGGTTCATAACACTCCAACAACATCCAATCGAAGACCTTCATGCGTTCCTCCTCCGACATCGGGAAGGCGGGCGCCCGATAGGGAGGGAGATAATCGAGCTTCCAGTGATCGATCAACTCCATGACCTTGGGAATGGACTTGTGAATCTCGCTGGGGAAGATAATTAGTGTACATACGGCAGACTCTGACGAGCTTGAAAGGGCACTTACCCAAGTTGGCCTTGAATGATCAGGGGAAGCTTCGTCGCGACATGTGTGGCGAACTGGTCCTGATGGTTGTCCATGAGGTTAGGATTGGCGACGACAATCATGGGGACTGCATTGGGATATACATCCAAGACAGTGCCAGTTGCTGTGAGATCAATGTCAGAATTATCTCAGAAAAGCAAATGGTGTAATTCACAGCCGAAGCAAGGTCACTTCAGATCTCACTCACCAGCATGAGAGATAACACAGCCTGAGGGGACTCTCTCGTTGCCGCCGTCACGAAGACCGCCACGGAGAGCAGCGAAGCGACTCTTGAGATTCTTGTCGAATGGGAAGCAGGTGACTCGGATATCGAAGGTATCGATGCTCGTCAACTTCTCTTTGAGCTCATCGAAGTACTTGCCGCATTGGACGTCAAGATGGGTGAAGCCGTTATTGGCAAGGGCCTTGAGGAAGTCGGGTTTCAAGACCTCATCAGATAGCTCTCTGAAAGCCACGGTTGCACCACCAGTGACGATGCAACGGCGACCGTTGTTGGCTGCCATGATGGAAGCTGGGAGCGCGTGACGGGCACCGTGGTTGGACCCTTCAATCTCCTGACTGTAGGGGATAGTGCGGAGGATCACCAAGTCTTCGCACTCCCAAAGGCGCTGTTCCTGGCCCTGGGTACCTCGAAGCTTGTCTTTGAAAGCAAAGGTCAGCAATCAAGGTCAAAGTATCTTTTTTCATTGATTCATGCTAGGAAGCTTACCCCAGGTCACAGTGATAGCTGCTTTGTAGGTCTCCATACTGGCTGTGAGGCTTGAGCTCGGCCAAACCTTGGCTGTGGATTTTGTGGGGAAAAGATTGTGGCGTTTTTAAGTGGCGGTGCAGGCCATTTATAGGCAAGCGCCACTTTAGCGCCGAAATGTCATGTGACTAAGAAAAAAGATGGACCATTAACCAGCTTGTAGCAAAACCACCAAGAGCTGCACACCACCACAAGCAGCAATTGCCATGGCTTCAGCAGCTCAGTCACTGCGGCTAGTATGCCGCAGCTGCAGAAGTCAAAGGCCTATCCGCCATGTCGCTCCCAGGGTCTTTGTCGCCTGGAAGTCCGTCTCCGGCGGCGCGATAAAGGATTTCAATATGCAGGAGGAGATACGGCCTTCACCCTTCGATGCCATGGCTGAAGAGCTTGAGAAGCTCGAGGCGGAATCGCGGACTATGGACTTTAGGAAGGCTGTGCAAAGGGCCAGTGAAGGACTAAGCCCCGAGGAACTTGCCGAATTCGAGAAGAACCGAGAAGAGATCCTAAAGGAAGCTTCGACCATCGACAGAGCCAACTCTCGCACCAGACAAGCCCTTGCTCCGCTTAGAAACATAATACGCCCGAAGAAAGAGTCTTTCTGGAATGACGAGGAGCAAGACACCGATGTGGTCTGGGATCAGGAGAGTGGTGAGGATGCTTTCAACGAGGATGACATAACTAGCATGGCACACGCGAAGCTCGAGGAGCATAGGGAGCACAGAGAATATGCTCGCATTGCCATCTGGGAAATGCCATTGCTTTCCAGTAAGCTCCTACATCTAGACAACTGATATCCTGAGGAGATCACTTACATAGGAACAGAGTTCGCGAAACCTTTCGAGCCACCTGCGAAGGATATGCCTCTACGCTTCCGAACCACCTCATATATGGGAGAATTTCACCCGGCCGAGAGGAAGGTTGTGGTTGAGTTTTGTCCGGCGGACTTTGATCTTACGCCTGTTCAGGAGTTGAAGCTAAAGAAGTTGGTCGGACCCCGGTACAACCCAGAGACGGAGATTGTCCACATGAGTTGCGAGATGTTCGAGCACCAGGCTCAGAACAAACGATATCTCTCCGACATGGTGGACAAGCTGATTGCAGAGGCAAAGGTACGATTAGATCTTGAGTTCAATTGCAGTATTCCAGTTGCTAAGATATACTCTAGGATCCGAAGGATACTTTCGAAGATGTCCCTCTTGACACCCGACATCATACATTCAAGATCAAGCCAAAGTTCCCCAAAGAATGGCGAATCACAGAGGAGAGAAGGAAGGAATTAGAAACGATTCGACAGCAAGCTTTGTTGTTGGATGAAGCTAAGGCAGCCGACGGGACACTAGTCGACGGACAGGAGAGAATCAAGCAAGCTCTTGCCGCACCTTCAATCTCAGACAGGGTGGCGGAGCTCGTATCAGCCCATCCGCACAAGGGTGCACATCGCCAGAAGCAACTTCGTCGATAAACCTGCCAGACGAACTGATCACAGCATTCGAGCCTACGTAACTGGCTTCGTTATACGTTGTGTGTTGTCCACAACGGTATCGCATGTCGCATTTTATCTTGGTGTGACATCGTACTGTAATATCGAGGTGCGAAAGATCTCGAAGACATCCAGGGCTCATATTACGCTCCACAAGTCTCGAGCATTGTACGAGGGCATGTACGTATATGTCATATATGTAGCATCTCAATTGTATCAATAATAGAATCAAATATGATACCAGCAGTATTGTCGTCTCGTGTAAATTGTAAGTAGCTTGAACCAGTCTGTGATGTGGTTATATTATCTCCGACGAAATGTGGCAGGTTTTCGACCCCAAACTCTGGAGTCGGAGTTGCGAAGACCAGTTGGAGTTGTATTAAACATCTCACCACGTGGGGATAAGACTGCTTGCCGAATCTGTTTATCAAGTACACTAGATGCTTCGAACGTAATACTCAACAGTTCTCACCTACAAGCCGCATAACCATTGATTCCAAGAGCTATTTGTCTGTTATTCATCGTCCTCACTTTGCGATACGCCAAGCACTCTTGCGCTTGGTAATCTGCCTTTGCGATGGAAGACATAAGAGCCAATCGCATTGGCTGATTCCAATGTCGTAGCACGCTCCGCGGAGCCCGTCCGATAGACGGAATGCATCCGACCAATTCGCCGGGTCGAGTCCGGAACATCGGCCTAGCAGCGCGGTATACGAGCAGCTACTTTAAAGTGTTGTTTCCAGCAATTCATGGGTTTCGGGGTCCTAGAGATGCTTCTGAAAGCAAGAGTAGATGAACGCAGAGTGTCACAGGGGTGCAGCAGCAGAGATCAGCGAAAAGGAAGCCTCGGCAGTTTGTTGGTGTTGCATGGTGAAAGTGTGGGGAAGCTGTCCCTTGTTGCCTTTGTGAAATCATTCCATACACTAACGGCACGGCATCTTGCATTCTATCAGTAGCTCCAGAGCTAAGATCGCCTCCCCTCTCTCACATGTTTGCTGGGGATGCTACCCTGTCTTGTCTCAAAACTAAAAGCTAGCCGAGCAATGGTCGATGGAACGGAGTCGGGATGAAATATAGCGGCACCTTCCCGTTTCCTCAGACTTCACTTCCACCCAACCCTTCGCAACCATAAACTGCCTACCGGAGGTCGGATCAACTACAAACGGACTTTTCATTTTGCGAACCTTCCGCCAGGAGTATCGCCGTCTTGCTGGCCGAGGCTACACGTCCTTACTGCGGTAAACGCATTCTACTTGAGAAGCAGGATTTGATCTAATCTTCTCCCTGTTCAGGATTTGGTAACGGACCTCATCGCGCGACATCCAAGCTCTGTACTGTACCTCGAGAGTCATTTGGTTGCTGGTCAACGCATACTTGCAAATTACTGGACTCCTTTGGAATCGTCAAAACAGCGTCTATCAACATGGATCTCAAGGGCGATTTGATACCAGCCTACAGGGCTACAGATCTAGATGCCATTCCTCAGATCTGCCAGACGGTCCGGTCCACGTTCCGCACCAACAAGACCAAGAGCATCGAATGGCGCAAGGTCCAGCTACGAAAACTGTACTGGGCCATGGTCGACCACACACCACAGCTAGAAGAGGCTATGCGCCGCGACTTGCACCGGTCGACTTACGAAGCCCATTTGACTGAGATCGGCTGGGTCAAGAACGACTGTGTGTGGATGTGTGATCATCTTGACAAGTTCGCTAGTGAACAACGTTTCGGCTCGCCGTTCGTGCCGTTTATCTTTGCTGCACACAAGATCCGCAGCCGCCCAGAGCCTCTCGGCGCCTCTCTCATCATCGGCACTTACAACTACCCCATAATGCTGATTCTTGTCCCTCTCGTAGGCGCCATTGCTGCCGGCTGCACTGCTGTCATCAAACCGTCTGAGGGTGCGCCGAATACGGCTATGGCTATCCAGGAGATGCTCGAAAAGAACCTTGACACTTCCGCCTTCCGTGTGGTCAACGGAGCCGTCCCAGAAACTACAGCGTTGCTTGAAGAGAAGTGGGACAAGATCTTCTACACCGGCGGCTCTCAGGTCGGCAAGATCATAGCCGTGAAGGCAGCAGAAACCTTGACACCCATCACCCTCGAACTCGGAGGCCGCAACCCGGCGATTGTCACCAAGAACGCAAACCCCAAGCTGGCAGCCAGACGGCTTCTCTGGGCCAAGGCCTTGAATGCTGGCCAGGTGTGCCTGTCACACAATTACGTACTAGTCGAGAAAGAGGTTGTCGATGAGTTTATTAAGGGCCTCAACGAGGCATACAATCAATTCTTTCCGAATGGCGCGAAGCAAAGTCCGGACTTTTCACGAATCATCAACGAGAGGCATTTCCTACGCATGAAGAAGATGCTCGATGAGAGCAAGGGCAAGATCGTCATGGGCGGCGAGATAGATCAGTCCGAGCTGTACATCGCGCCCACGGCCGTGCTGGTCGATTCTTATCAGGATTCGATGGTGGAGCAGGAGTCCTTCGGTCCCATCTTTGCCGTTTTGCCCGTCAATACCCTTTCTGAGGCAATCAATATTGCAAACGCCGTCGATCGGACTCCGCTGGCACTCTTTACGTTCGGCACAAAAGCGGAGAACCAGAGAGGTACGTGGCTTCCCTACCAATTGTCCTATATGCTTGACAACACTAACATAAGACCAACGCACAGTCCTGCACGAGATCACCTCAGGCGGCGCTACCATGAACGACTCGTTCTTCCACGCGTCAATGAACAACGTGCCTTTCGGCGGCGTGGGCGGGTCCGGAATGGGCGGCGCCTCTCGCGGCAAGGCTGGCTTCGATGCCTTCACGCACTACCGATCCGTGGCCGAGACGCCCGCTTGGATGGAGAAGCTGATCCGCATCCGCTACATGCCATACAAGTGGAGCGAGATGAAGCGGATGAGCATTATGCGAGACGAGCGACCCAACTTTGACCGCAACGGCCGTGTCATCAAGGGGCTGAGCTACTGGATTCGATTTGTTCTGGGACTGGGCGGCAAGGAGCCCAAAGGTGCGTTCCTGCGATGGTTGGCCCTTGTGGTCGCGTACGGGGCATGGATATTGACAACGAGAAGGCGCTGATCTGTGATGCTCTACGATGGCTCTGGCTGTCAGGCTGGTTTATTAACCCGTGTCACCGAGTAGACGCTCAAAAGGCGATGGAAGGAAGATGTTGTATAACTCCTATTTGAGCCAGGAGAGTTCAGTCTCTGCTCTACGGCACCTTCGGCGATATGATGGGTATCCTGTATTGATATTCGACTTGCTTATATAAAGATATCCTACGTAATACTGTGCACATAGCTAATAAGTCACGACAATCACTGTTCGCTTTCAATTTAGTAAATATAATGCGTGATTAAACTTTTCATATTCTGCTTTTATTTAGGAATAGGTGTTTTCAACACCTGATTTCTACGCCTCCCTTGCTGACTGTCAGATACTTGACGCCCTTGTACGGCTTCACGCCCTCCCCGAGCCCTCGGCTCTTCCTGGTATCTATCAATATGCTCTCCACCCTGATTCCGCTTGGTAGCCACCCTTTGACGGCAAAACTGACCGACGCCGAGCTGGGCATCAGGATCTTATTCTGTGCCACCCTCTTGACATCCGCGCCGTCCCCGCTGGCTTCTGTATTCGCCTTGTCCAACTTATCCGCCGCTGGCTCGGCCTGGTACGGCTCATCGTAGACGTACTCCTTCCCAAAGCTGAAGCCGTTGGGGTCTGAAGCACCCTCGTCCTCCTCGCCCGTCAACGGTCCGGTGACCGTGCATCGTAGCCCAAAGTACGTCGTGCCAGCCGCCAGATCCTTCGTGGGGATGTGCCATTCCAGGTGCCTGTCGCCAGGGTTGTACGTGGCATCGCCCTTGCTCGGCCTGATCTCAGGCAGATTCCTGACGTTCTCGGGCAGCGGCACCGTGATGGTCAGGTCCTCGAGAGCCGGGGCTCCAGGAGTGCCAGTGTGTGGTCCAGCGCCGAACCCCCTGCCGGCCGAACTGCCTCCTCTCCCATACGCACCGGACGAAGAGCTTCCGCCGGTACCCAGAATCTTGTTCACATTTACCCTGACCTCGAAATCTGAGCCCGTCGACCCCAGCCCTGTCTTCATCTCGATGTTTACAGGCAGCTTCAGGTTATTCGCGCTCAGACTGCCGCTCTTCCCATTGCTGAACGGCAACAGATCCACCTCATACCCAGCCAGGATGAACCTCCCGTCGGGCGGTATGAAGCTCAGCTCGCCGGGGTGCTCCCTCCAGCGCGCGAGGCGCACGCACGGGTGGAAGACGGGCAGCTCCATGACGCCGGCGAGGTTGTGCTTGCCGCTCGGGGCGGTCAGGCTCATCGTGATGTCCGGGACGCCCGAGACCTTGCTGGTGAAGGCGATGGTGCCGTGGGCGAAGGCGGACAGGGGGCGGCCCGAGGGCGCGAGCGTCACGCTCAGCGTCTCGACGACGTCGGCGTACAGCTCGTTGCTCGTGTGCCGCACGTTGGCGCGCCGCCACGGCAGCGCCAGCGCCGGCGCCGCGCTCTGCTGCAGCAGCAGCGGCGAGGGGCTCGGGCTGCGGCCCAGGTCGATCGCCTTGCCGCCCGGCAGCTGGATCGAGCCCAGCAGCTTCGACGCCCAGCCCTCGACCTCGACGAGGTCGCGCAGCGCGTTGGGCTCCGTGGTCGAGACGGTCCCTGCGTCGCAGAGCTCCGTGAGCAGCTGTGCTACGACATCGTAGCTGGACTCGATGCGGTGTGCTAGCAGGGGCGCGCCGAGGAACTCCTCGAGGACATCGACTACGCGGTGTAGGAACTCGAGCGCTAGGAGGGGCTCGACCTCGGATGACGTAGTGAGCAGAAGAAGAAGGTTGCTGTGGATGAGACTGAATACGAGTGTCGGCGGATTCGTGTTGGGTAGGAAGATCAAGGACGGCCTTGGTGCTGGGTGCGCGAGGTAGAGAGGTAAGAGATGTGTTGCGGAGAGTGGTCGAGAGGTGTAGGTATGGGAGAGGATGGGGCTGCTACGGGATGGTCAGCGGTGTATTCTTTGAGGCTTCCTTTGTGTTTATTAGAAGGCTGGTTTCACATACTGGCGCTCATCGTAGATGTGCAGCGCCTCAATGACGCCGTTCATGGCTGTCTCGTGTGCTGTGAATACATTGAGGTGATGTTGGTGGTGAAGAGAGAAGCTTGGGTCAGGTACATCCCACCTTGACGCAATGGCTCGTGAAAGTCCACTCCCCACTGCTCCCTTGTGTGGGGCCGAGAATAGCTGCAAGCCACCGAAACATCATCTCCATTTCAGGTACTCATAGTAGATAGATACTTGACTTTTTAGAATAACTACTTAATCAATACTGGTATCTTTTATGTGTGCTTAAAAAAATACAATCTGGAGATTGTACATATATGACCGCTGTTTGATATACAGGAAATGGACATTAGGGGTCAATAAGGGATCTCAGAACTATCAAACTAGGCCCCTACTTGAACACATATCTGCAAGCAATGCTTATCCTACAGATTCAAAACGCCATTTGTGCCGCTCTTGTTGCTTGTTCATTCGCATCGTACTATCCCATTTTCGCATCGCTCTTTGTCCCGTCTTTGGAGCCCTACTATATTACAAGAATCAAACCTCGCGTCCATGATATCTTTCTGGTGGACTGCTCGTCTGTGGCTGCTCTTATTTCCCAACCACAACGGTCGGCGCGCTCAGACGGCCGTTCACGCTGGGACTCGTCACAGTCTGAGGCTGGGGAGAGCTCGCTTCGTCGAATAGGCTGCTGGGTCGCCTGCTCAGGGGCTTTCCGCTTGGCGTCCGGTGGCCGCTGCTGGCTGAGATGCCGTAAGCTTTATCGAGCGTTTCCTTGCACATGCGCAGGAAGACAGCGCCGAGAGCAGGGTTATGTAGAGGAATCAAGCTGAAGTATAAACTGGCAGTGATGCGGTACAGCGTCTTGCGATGAATGCGCACCCCGTAAGTCTCCTCCAGGAACTCGAAGAAATAGCCACGCAACTCCTCTAGAAGGTCGCGGTCGGCCTCGTCCAACAGATGGTCGGCACCCTCCTCGAGGGCTCCGGTGAGATCGGCTTCATTGGCGGCCATAAAGAGGATGTGGTCGTAGCCGCAGAGGGACTGCAGGACCTTCGCAAGATCGTAATGGATATCACCAGCCGAGGTCAAAAGATCTTCCTGTCGGCACCGTACATCGATGAAGGATACTAGCTGCCCATCATTGGACATAATAGCATTGCTAAAAACGGGGTCACCATGGATGACTTCCGCGTACACGCCCTTGTCCTCGGCTTCGTAGGTATCGAGAAACTCGTCAAGCCTAGAGTACAGCTTCTCTGCCAGAGGACCGAGAGCATCGTATCGGTCGCGGTGCTTCTCGTAGCGGGTACGCAGCTTGCTGCCGTAGTTGGCGTAGATGTTTACTCCATGACTGGACTGATCAACGGAGTGCTTAGCAAATTTAGCAGCTAAAGCTGCTGGAATTTCGAGGCTCGGCTTCTCGGGGTTAGGGGTGGCATGGATGGTATGAAGAGCTTTTAGGAAGCTAAGCAGGCGTCCCTTCGTGATGGAGCGTCCAACAAGGAGGTGGCTGAAGGTTAAACCACGACGGTTCTCCATGATAGTGTTGTACGTGCCGGTCTCGGGAATGTAGTCGACACTGTAGACACTGGGGAAGATGTGCGACAGCGCCTTCGGCATGTGAGAGTAGAAGTATAGCTCGCCAAGGATGTTCTCAGACTTGGATGACTTAACGACCTTGCCACCAACGATCTGGATGGTGTTGAAATCGCGTGCCGCGATCATGCCCTCCTTCTTAGCCGAGTCGTCCACCGGCGGAGCATCCTCGCCAAGAAGAGAAGAAGAAGGATCGGATTCCTCCAATAGCCAGCCTATCTCGCGCATGGTATCTAGATTGGCATTGACGGCAAGATCGTCAACGTAGACGTCCGCCCAGGGTTTGCCAAAGTGGATGTCATGGAATGGAATCTCGTACTTGGCCAGTTGTGCGAAGGTAACAGGGCCAATATCCGCGAGAACAGATCCCACGTTGCCATCGTGGGTCTTCATCCTGCGGGCAGTCTGGATGATGATGTGATGCCCAGCCTTAAAAAGCTGCTGAACAAGTCGGATGTTCTTGTCAATGGGCGGGCAGGTTGAGTAGTCTCCCTTCACCTCGGGATAACCCACTAAGGTTCCATCGAGGTCGAAGCAGAAACGACGCTTCTTCATCTTGATCGGTACTTCGCCCTTATTCGAGCTGCTGAGCTGCTTGAGAAGAGCCTGAAGCTGTTCAGGGGTACCGACAACGGTGAAATCCTTCTTGCTGACAGGCATGCCCAGGAATGGTATGCCACCCTCAAAAATCATCTGTGAGATTGTTTGTGAAGTATAATACTCGCCCACCTCGGGGCTGGTCTCCTTGTCGAGGTTCTTGGACGCCCATGATTTGAGTTCAGCACCACTAGGAAAGACGTAAGCTCCCGTGTTAGCCTTGTTTGAAATAGCTTTCTTCTCGCGAATATCCACGATGCGTTCGAGGCCGTCCCTACAACCGTCAGTTTGTGAAAATACGCCTGATGGTTCTGTTTCACCCACTTTGGCTCCGTCTTGATGTAGGAGAAGATGGGCTTGTCGCCATCGTCTGTGAAGTAGAAGCAACCACCATGGCCCTTGGGCATGCGTCGGACATCCTCCAGAACGTCCCCCCAGTAGATCGTGTCACAGTCGAGTGAAACAGTCTTGCGGGTGAGGTGCTCCTTGGTCATACTCTGAGAGATGATGTAGAGCTGGAATGTTTTGTCAGTCAAGTCAGTTCGACGGCGTCTAGCGCACGTGGAGTGAGACATACCGTCTCGCTGGCACCCTTAGTCTGGTGTCTCAGCCTGTGGAGTCTGAAGTCGATCCTGGGGAAAGATTTGGTGATGAGCTGGCCGATCCGGAACTCGTTGTCGATTTCCTCGTTGACGGCCATCCAGAGGGTGTCGCCAGACTGTAGGGAGAGGTTATCGATAAGCCACATCAGCATCGGCCGGCCTACAATGTTGATGAGCGGCTTGGGGTATCGGTAGCCCTGCTTCGCAAACCGCGAGCCAATGCCACCGATGGGAATGATGACATTGATAGGGTCGCGGTGGGCAGTGCCGTTGCCATTGACCTGATCGTTGAGCGAACCCATTTTCGCGTTGTGTGCAATACTACGAACTGCCTACAGCGTAGAAATGAATATCAAAAAAAAAAAAGAGAGGATGTCAAGCAGATGCACGACGAACAACAGCAACAACGCTGGCAGAATATGTGCAGCTCAAGCGAGGCAGTCAACGAAAGACGAGGGTAGAATTAAGAAAACAAAGAGAGAGAGAGAGAGAGATACGACACTTGCGACAGAGGCGCAGTTTAGCAATTGAGAACTCTCGCGGCTTCAGCCTGGGAAGGGGGACTGATGAAGCGGGCTAATGTTACGGTAAGGTAGGGCAAAGTACCCGTAAGTCACCGCCGGTAGTGATTAGGACAGGCCGATAGTGGCATGGAAATGGGGACCGTGCTTTTTGGGCTCCCGTCAATCTCTCACGTCAACGCTTAGAGAATAAGTGTACAGATCATCCACCACTGTAACTGACTAAGTCGGGTAGTAATAACGTTCCATTTTAAGGACCCATATGGTGCTTCCAGGCCTACCAGGACCTTACTTGAGTACATTACCTTATATTCCTTATCCTAGGGTACCGTAATTCGTGTATCTGCTCACTGAAGCTTGGCTACCGTGGTCCCACCTATCAGCGACCTGCGCAAAAGCACGCGGTCGAGGTTCAGGGGCTGACAAGCAAAGGAAGCCTGTGAAGCGAACTGCAACTTATCGTAATTTTTGCAAGGCTCATCAAACAGACCCCAGCGAGCCCAGGACCCCTGAAAGAGGCGTGGTGGTAGGGGGGGCAAGCCCTACTGTAGGATTAGTCTGGCCGCCGTACTCGTAGATCGCACGTTGATGAAATGCTAATTCTAATTCCGGATAGCCCTTCCTCGGCCTTCCTCAGCGGCGTGGGAGGGTCGGTCGGCGGCCCAGCGAGCCAGCCTGTCCAGGAGTATGGTACAGACGTGCAGCGCTAAAGATGGGGTGGCGGACGATTAGCGGTGCTAGCCTCACCCGAACGGCCTCTTGATGTCTCCCCTATTTCTTTTTTTTGCCCGAGAAGACTTTCTGCAGCCCGTTGTGAGCCTGCAGGGACGATCCCCTTAACGTCTCCTCTCACCAAGGGGGGAACGGAATGTCCAGAAAGGGGTTTAGGGAGGAGACAATTATCTCTCGGCATGTCTTCTAGCGTAGTCCGCGCGTATTAGCGTTTGCGCCCAATATGGCTGGAGAGATTTCACGTCACTTTTTTTGCGTGCTGCACAATCAGAGACAAATCAAATTTGATTTGTTTGGTCTTTGATAAGGCAAAAAGAATGAGGAGGCCGTTCCGACGTGTTTCCCCTTTTTCATGCCCTGAAGACTTCCGGACGTGTCACGGTCGTGAGCCACTTTAAGTCCGACCGGTAAGTCGCAAACAGCCTGAAGGTGTAGTCACACCGACTGATACAATCCTGCCTCGGTTTTCGATCGGTCGCTCTCAATCTCTCACCGCGAGCGAGTGGAAGGATTTAGCGACAGTCGATTACGGCAATCTTCAGGGGAGGGAAGCGCTGGACGGTACACTTCGGCCCGCCAAGGAACATGTGTCATCAAGTTCCAATGACGAAATAGCTGTGCCTGTACGATGCTGAGCGGGAACGTCGGGGTTTGTTTCTCATCCTATTCCTTGTCTTAGAACACTCTGGTGTAAGTTGCCGGTGGTGTCATATAAATCGGTAAATTCGACAGCTTCTATCGTTTTGTTTTGGCTCTTGAAGTCTCCCATGTCAGACGGGGCAAATATCGCCGTATATAGCGAGATGGAGCCTCGCCGAGCGTAATTTTGAGTTGACGGGCGATCTGCACCTGCATTCTCGTCCGGGTGACCATCCGGCAGGCCTTGCTTCTTTGAGAACCATATGATGTGTGGCTACAGCCAGAGATCGGAAAAAGCACCACGGCCTATGCCTACTTGAGCCTGTTGATGCTCACTGGTTAGACTCGGAGTTTTCAGCAGCGTGTGCTGAGCACATGGATAGGGAGCTATGGTTCCCCTCCCACCACACCGCACGATTAGGGGAGCTGCATGATTGGGTCGTTGCGGAAATGAAACCAGAGGCATCGAACTTTCGGCCCTTGAAGCGGCTGAAATGGGGGCGTTACGACAGGCTGCAAAGGACTCCAGGGGTTAGGACGGTAGCGTTAGTAGTAACCGTTCTTAGTCTCAAGCTGATAATCTCCAACACGACTGAAGTAAAATGAGTTGTCAACTCCCCTCGCCAAGTGACCGCACGGTGCGAGTGCGACCCTTTTCCTTACCATTTTAGGTTTTCAAAAATCATGAAGTCAAGAGTGAAACCAAGCGATCCGTTCGAGCCGGTTGGTGACGGACACAAAACAGCTTTGAGGGCGACAAAGTGTAGGTCCGGGCTGTGCAGTGTCGCAGCAATCCATCTGTAGCCAATTGTGGGATATGGTAGGCTATCGCCTGCAGTTTCCACTAAGGTTGTGAGGTTGTGCCGCTGAGTGGTCCTAGCGGATCATCGACAGAACGCTGCGAAACACAGGAAGGATCGAGTGAGGAGTGAGGTGTGGCAGATACCCACAATATCAATCATCGGTCAAGCGATCCAGATGATCAGTCTCTTTTCATAATGAACCTGTCTCGCCGTGGCTGTCATGTCAATTGTCCATCCCGGTCACCCCAAGACCAGCCGCCGTTCCATCGACAGGTCGCTGCAAGTGAGCAAGGGCATGTTCTCTCATGATGACAACAAGGAGTGTGATTGAAAAAGCATATTGGTATTTATCAATAATGTTGTACCGGTAGTCGAACGCTAGAGTCAGGGGTTAGGCTTGGGGCTTGCCTGCGAAAATCATGTTGCATTGCACTGTCTGCACTGTAGGGGATTGTCCGGAAGGTGCCGCATTGAATTCCCCATGCTGTACTGTACTGTACAGTATGTACCCGAGTACAACCAAGTGCTGAGGTGATGGCCGATGACTTCATCTCACTTGGATCTACTGCGTAGTAGTAACGAGAGCGACGCGTCCTCCTGTCTCGAGGTGGGAGACTTTGCCTGGAGGAATTATACATGATTTGCTACTGAGCGTGATCCGCAGATGATCATGGAGCTCCTTCCCATACGTCATCCCTCCTCTGCTGGGTACAGCAAGAGGTCCTGCTTCTTGGAGCAAGAGCGTTGCACGCAGGGGGGTTCTTTCCTTGCAAGTCCAGGTAGAGTGCTAATTGGGGGGAGGGCGTCAAGAGTCAAGGCTCGAATACCAAGCAGAGACGAACAGGGGCTACTTTAAATTTGGTTGTCGGAATCTGCTCCAGGCCCTGGCCCACTTGCTCAGTATCAGATTACCTACAGGGATTCTCGCTCTCTCAACTCACTTGGGATTTTCGCGTCTGACGGAAGGTGCTTCCCTACTAGCGAGCCTGGCTCCCTGGGAAGTCGCTGCCACCGACATTGGCCTTCCGGAAGGCGCTTGTACGCCGTGGTAGCCCTACGACTAGAGCCTCATTACACAAACGGAAACGGAAGCCACAATGGAGAAGGGGCCTTGATCAAGGAAACACCTTCCCCCCCAAACAACACAACGGGAGGCCGAAGATCAAGATCAAGGCAGCAGTGGGATATTTTACAGCTACACGGCAGGAGGACTGACGCGTTGACGGCAGTTGCGAGGGGGGGGAAGCCGCCACCGTCAATCACAGCACAGAGCACGCAGCATGGCACATCGCATCGCATCGCATCGCATTACATCGCTCCTGCGTGTTCAGCAGCCCGGCCTCCCTCGTACAGAGACTGAGACTAAGACTGAGAAAATCACAACTGTCACAGCTTGTGCCGCCAAGGTGCAGCTTTGTGTACGCAGCGAGTGCCACAAAACGGCTACTCAGCAGCCGAGTCGCCGCACATCCATCCGAGCCATCCCATGGGCTTGAGCTTGGGCTTGGGCTTGGGCTTGGCCGTGAACGCTGAGCCCTGCTGCTCATCTTAGTGTTAGTGCTGATAGGTCACCCAGACTTTTGCTCTCATCAGGCATTTCGTGGGCTGTTGTAAACGTTACGAGACAGGCCTGCTGCGAATAATACGGACGGTACCGTACGCCCGACTTGTATGCTGCTTGAGCTACCGTGCTACCCTACCAGCCTACTGCATAGTACCTCCTACCTACTACCTTGGGTGTTCCTTCTGCTGCTGCAGTCAGGTAATTGCCATGCAATTGTCAACCCCCTGACTGGTCCAGCGGCTGCCCGCCAGACCCACGCCTTCGCCCCCAGCGGGGGTTCAATGAGCCCCCTAACCCAGGCTCCCACTCCTCAGTACGCAGTATGCTCGCAGTCCACACTGTATCAGTCGCCCATACGCCCAACTCTCTCTAGCGTCCTGCCTTCCCGCACCGGTACGTATGCACCTGCAGCAGAACGAGGTGCTAAGAACGCCGCCGGCCTTAAATTATTATAGGAGCAGTGGGCTTTTCTGGATGTACATCAGGGTACCGTAGTTTGGGGGGGCCACCCGTCAGAAGGATCCATTTCCATTTCCTTCAGGAGCAGCAACCAAGTCTCGTCTCGTAGGGCTCAGCCATCACCAGCGACACCGTCACCGACCCCGACACCGATACCGACAGTCTTCTTCTTGTCTGAGCTGTCAGATTTGATTTGCTTCCAGGTTGAGCGCCTATTGCTTGCTTTCCTTGTTTCTGTCTGTGTTGTAGCCTTCTTCTTCTCGATTATACCACTACCGCTCTCCCAACTGGATATCCAACCGACGGTTCGACGAAAGCGACATGCCGGTGGCACCTGCGACGGGACACTCTTTAAAGTTTGACCAAGCTTAAATCAAAAGTCACAGCCCCATCTCGCGTCTGTCGCCCGAGATGCTACGTTCGTTTTCTACTTCGTCGCTCCCCCTTGGGATGCTCCTCAAGCCGCTGTCATGGGTTACCGCCGGCCCTCAGAGCGCTGCATACGCTGCGGCGCTGGGCCTGGTCGCCATCCAGGTCGGCATTGGCATTATCATGAAGGCGTCGCAATCCGGCGGCACTTACACCTTCTCCCCCTCCGCCTCCGTCACGATATCCGAATTCCTCAAGATGTGCCTGTCGCTGTGGTTCTTCTACCGAGAATGCCGCCAGCGCGCGGCGGACGGCATTCGGCCATCGACAAGAGGTGGAGGCTCGGGGTATAGCTCGCTCGCTGGTTCCGATCTGCCCACAATGGAAAGGAGTAGCATGGAGGAGAAGGAGAGGTCTGATGGAGTGGAGGTGCCCGGCGATGTTGCGCCGAAAGCCAAAATACTCCCGCATCTCAATGTGCGGACATACTGGAGCTACATCAGGGGGGAGGTGACCGAGAATGTTCGGTATGGCTTCTGTAACCTGGCACTCTTCTATGTGCTCATCAACAACTCGGTATGCCCTTCCGCCGATTTACGTCTAGACGACCGTGGATTGCTGACTGTAGTTTCCGTAGATCTTTGTTTCCTATAAGCTGGCAGACCCTGGAACGATCCAGCTTACGAAGGCTGGCGTTACGTTCATCACCGCCTTGGTGATGATCGTGACGCTTAATGCCAAAGTATCCAAGATCCAGTGGATCGCTATTATCATTCAGGTAAGGCCTTCAGATCTTGCTCGATGGCATTTACTCACAGTTATATAGGTCTGCGGGTTGATGGTCACACAATACAACCCTGAGACCGGCGCCACCTACTCCTTCGGAACTTATTTCCTTCTGATCTTCCAGGTGTTCCTGAGTGCATCATCTGGCGTGTACAACCAGGCTCTATTGAAAAGCGACGAGTCAAGCTTGCATGCAGACAATATGATTCTGTACGCAGCAGGCTCTGTTGTCAACCTGATGGTCCACATCATGCTTAGCATGTTCAAAGAGGACGAGCCGGGATTTTTCGAGGGCTACAATAGCTTTGGAGCAATCATGGTTATTGTCAGCAATGTTTTCATCGGCCTGGCGATCACCGCGGTCTATAGATGTAAGTCAAGAAGTGAGACATGCTAGCTGAGACACCATGCTGACCCACCCAGACGCCGACGCCGTCATCAAGTGTTTTGCGACTGCGTTCGCAACGGCGATTCTCCTGTACATCTCACCGATTCTGTTTGGCACATCTCTAAGCTTCCTTGTGATACCCGGCACTATCGTCGTCTTTATTGCATCATGGCTGTACATGGACAACCCGCCGCCGAAGGATCCGAATGCTCCGCCTCCAAGCAGCGAAGGCAAGAGCTCGTGGCAAGTCCTACAACAATGGGGCAAGTCCGTGCTCTTCGTCTCGACACTCTTCACCGTGGTTGTGTCAGTTTTCCTCACCATGTTCGCCTCGACACTAGGGGACATAAATGTTGGCAAAGGTGAACCGAGCACCCCTAAGACACCCACGCACCCCTCGACCAAAGGGGAAATCCTTATCTCGCCCTTCAACAACACCCTTGCCATGGTCCGGTGGAACTCTGGCCGGCCGGAGAGAATCCCCATGATTAGGAAATACGAACCCTTCTTCCACTCGATACATATTTCCATGCCTGACAGCATGCCAAACCAGACCGAGAAATATCACAACATCACCAACGATCAGTACGAGGACGCATTCCTCATTTACCAACAAGTAGCGCGAACCATGCAACTTGCGCTGGACACCCAACCCGATGTTGAGGGTCTATTGTACTACCACTTCGATGCATGGATCGACCCTCTCGCATGGGCGTCCTCAGATTTCGAGAACATCTGGTATCCCTCCGTGGTTGATGCAAGGGAGAGCGCATTTGGAGGACCCCAATTTACGTGTATGAATGATAGTTCGAAATACAACTGGTGGGGGTGGGCCAGGAACTACCACCAGGACGCCCTGTCCGCCATTGCCGCCATCAACGACGACAGGCCTCCTTTCCGCCGGGATCAGTTCTGCCTCGGCTGGAGCGACATCTACTATGTCCCACGACGCTTCTTTACCGACTTTATTACCCTCTCCGAGATCTTCGTACGCTTCACGGTCATGCACGAGGTGGCGATCCCGACTATCCTACACGTCATTGACGAGACGCGGCGCACCAACCGCTTCATGCCAGTACTGGATCGGTTCGGCGACTGCTGGGGCTCATGTTGTGCGTCGGGCCCGAAGGCTGAGGACGTAACGTGGACGAGATGTGGCCATAAGCTCGACTATAGGAACGAACCTGTTGTCAACGCCTTCTACGACAAGCTCGATGGCCAGGCCGCTATGCTTGGAACAAAAGGAGAGGTGATTGGGGGCCCTTGAGGATGATTTATTGTTATTCTTCTTCTGCTATACATATTTCAGCATTCGGTGGGACCATATTGCGAGGTCTCCAGATCAGATTGTGCCAGGACGAGCGGAGGATTTGACCATATGGCGTTCCGGCAGCAAAAATATATCCGCTGAGGGTGGCTGGCATAGCTTCTTCAAAAGCTTTGGAATAGAAGGAAGGGCAGTACGGCGACAAGGCACATCGACTTATAGAGCCAAGGGCCGACCGGATCAGTGTAAGCTCTTGACCCCTTGTTGGCAGTTGGCACCAAAGGGGCGAGGCGGCCCCCCAAACCCGGACGAAACATACGAAGGGTATTGACGAGCAAGATAAGCCCAAGGCTTGGAAGGAAGAACGAGTGTTTACCTATGGTATTGGTCTATATACATCTGTTGGAAAACGGATCTGGATGGCCCCAAAGCACGGCCAATTGACATACTACTGTTACTATTTACTACTCTGATGGCGTCATGATTCACTATTCGGCGTTATTTGAAAGAGGGGAGCGACCAAATATCTGCAGAATACCAATATTAATACCCCTTTTTATATTTGATTGGCACGATATATCCAGACTTGATCAGTAACATGTAGATACCCTATCCTAATGGCCTGAAACTAGCACTGCCTTGCTTCCTGATGACGCTTTCATCTACATATGTCTCAGCCGAAGACTTGGACGATGTCGACGACTCGCGACGCTGGATGCCGAGAGCAACGTAATCATCAGACCCCTGTTTCCTGATGACGCCCTCGTCCCTAGTCTCTTCTACCGCGGACTTGGAAGACGTTGACGAGCCCCAGACGCTCCTCAGCGTCGTGGCCTTGAAGTCAAACGATGCTGACGCGCCACCGCTGGTGCCAGTGCTATTAATGCTATCCGCTGAGCCAACGAGGATCTGATCGACGACACCGTTGGCGAAGAAGAGCATCGTGCCGCTCGAGTCACCGTCGTTGACGAAGATCTCGAAGATGGAGCGGTCGTAGATCCCATAGATGCTGTACGTGGCCTCGTCGCCCTTCACCGAGGCGGGCTCTACGCTGGCCTCGGACCAGTCGTCGATGTGCGAGGCGCTGCTCCACCCCTGCATCGACCGGTGCAGCGAGACCGACGCCGCCCCGGCCGACAGGGCCACCGTCACGGTCAGGTTCTCGCCCGTCTCCGTGCTCACGAGCGCGAGCTGCGCGGTGGTGTCCGCCCGCGCCCGGACCGTCCAGGTGAACTCCACGGCGGGGTTCTGGGCCTGCAGGTCGTCGTCGTAGGCGAACTCGACGCTCTCGACGTCTGACTTGTCGATGATGGGCTCGCCGGCCACCGGGCCCGTCGAGGCTGGCCTGGTGACGAGCCTGTAGTCGGCGTCGAGCCAGTGCTCGCGCGCCGTGGTCATGGTGTGCCGCCAGCCCTCGGTGTCCGTCGGCGTGCAGCAGGCGTAGCCGCCGATGGCCTGGGTGGCCCAGCTGATGGAGTGGACGCTGTCCTGGGCGTGCGCGTCCTTGTCGTACCAGAAGGCGGTGGCGTAGGTGTCCGGGCCGAAGTCGTAGTCCTGCAGCCAGTAGTTGGTGCCGTTCTGCACGGCGTCCGGAGCTGGTGTCGGCGTGAACGTCTCGCCGTCAAAAGTCCCTGGCATGTAGCGCACGGCGGATCTGACATTCTCATAGAGCACGTTTCCGATGGAGATGAGGAGCACATAGACAGACTCGATGAACTTGCCGCTGTCGTCGCGGCGCGGGATGGTGAGGAATTGTGGGCACTCAACAATCCCTACGGGGTCGCTGGGAGTCCAGACGGAAGTCTGATTCCAGTCACGGAGGTCAGACGAAGTCCAGAAAGCGACGGCATCGCCCAGCGTAGTTACCATGATCCATTTCTTCGAAGCTTCGTGCCATGTCACCTTGGGATCGCGGAAGCCGTGCCTGTTCAGGGAGATGATCGGGTTGTCCGGGTCCGGGATGAACGACTCGCCGCCGTCGAGCGAGTAGGCAAGAGATTGCGCTTCCTGGGGATCCGTGTAGGAGGTGAAGAAAGCCACCACATTGTCTTCGGCCGCTGTCTGGTTGGAGAAAAAGCCCGACACGTTCTCGGTGTCAATGATGGCGCTGCCAGACCAGATGGACCCCTGAGAATCCGACGCCGGAATGGCCACGGGCTGATCAACCCAGTCGTAAAAGTCGGTGGATGTTGTATGTCCCCAATCTTTGTAGATCCCGTTCCCATCCACTGCCTCTCCATCTAGATTTGATCAGCGCCCAGAAAGTGGATATTGAGAAACTCCCCCGTATATGCCAATTGCACCCGCCTCTCATCGACTTACATTGGTAATACATGTGCCATGTGCCCTCAGAATCCTTGAAGAGCCCATTGGGGTCATTCATCCAATTCTGAGGCGGAGTGAAGTGTACTTGGGGACGCCAGTGCCCAGACCTGCTGGACGACTGCCGCTCCGCGTGGGGGGCCGTGGTGCGCGGCAGGACGCTGGCACTCGCAGGGGAAGCGAGACGGCATGTCCATGCTATGAGGAAGGAAACCCCTGCGAAGGAGGAAGAATGCATGATTGGGTATATGAACAACACCGCACCGTCAGACTATGGGAGAAGAAGCCAAAGTCATGCGCCTCCGTATCTAGGCAGGATATAAAAGCAGGGAAACAGAATCTAAGTCTGGGGAGTGATGAAAATGCGCCACGGACGCAAGTCGAACTTATATAGTCTAAGGATGCTCGTGTGCTGTATGCTGTATGTTGTATGCTGTATATATGTTATGAATCAAGATGTATATAAGCCCGTGTGGACTCAAAGCAATGCGAGGATGTTGGATCTCTGCGATGCCATGACGTGCTGTTCCTCGTGTGATGCTGACCAACGGACGTATAGTTCTGTTCTGCTATCGACAATGCGGAGAAGAGGATCAAAGTCTAAGACATGCGATCGAGAAGGTGTACAACATAAGACAGGAGAGGATAGGACAAGGGTCTTTCTTGGAGAGCTGCAGAGGAGAAGAACCAAGGCGGGCGGCCGCTGAGAAGCTGGAGAGAGAAGTCCAAGATGCTGTCAGTGAGCCTGTCGAAGCAATGCGATTGGATGCATGCACACACACGCAGGGTGACAGCAACAGCAAGCGTAAAGACGAGCCTCTCGCGGGCCTCAACCCTGATTCTTGGTTCTTGGTTCTTGGACCGCCTGGAGAGGAGTGAAGTGATGTGATGTGATACCTCCTGATGTGGTGTTGAGGGAGAGAAAGCAGGAAGGAGGATGGGATCGGAAGACCACGAGACCAGGTCAGCCGAGCGCCAGCAGATGTCCTTCCCCGCATGCACCAGCGAGGGAGCCACCTAAGGGGCATTTCCCCGCGAATCGCCGGCGCATCTCGTGCAGTAAGCGGCGCTGAAATGCACGTGAAATTAGGGGCCGGGTCAGGGGGCCTGAGGGGTCCGAAGAGGCTCCTGGTCCACTAACCTTCTCCAATTGTGTCCCCATCGCGAGCGCGGTGCCTGGGCAGGCTGCTGCCAGTGCATTCATTGTCAGGCTCACTCGCCTTAACATTAACGTTTAGCGGCGCCGATCCGCTGCACGGAACGGCAGGCGCAACGCACGCCCACCGCCCAGCAACCCCCCTCTGCAAGGCCCCGAGCTCACTGATCTGCCACCTGCCAGCTTAGCGCAGAACGGTCCCGTAACGGCAGTTCCTGGCGTCTGACAAAATTTGGCGACCAACACGAGCAGCTTCTTGATTCTGCAGTTGCACGCATCCCGCATCCCGCAACGTCACATCGCTCACATACATACACGAATTCGAGTCCTGAACAACCTACCCTAGGTACGGCACATCACACGCTCACGCATACATCAACTCCACAGAAGCAAAGGCATAGGCATAGGCACGAGCACGAGCCTGAGCACGCGCTGCTGCCGCACAACCATCTGCGAGCCACTAACCCAGCAGCATCGACGTCAACCTGCCTAACATGGCCGGAGACAAGGTGCCCTCCATCCATGCCCTCGACAAGCCCGAGAAGCTCGACACACTACTCAAGGAAGACCGCGGCGATGACTGCTTGCCGTGCCGTGTTGTTGGCAAGTCCACTCCTTCCCCTCCTTCGGGACTTTAAGCAGACAACAGACGACATTAGTGTTGCTGACGTGCATGGAACATTCTACAGGCGGCGGTGCTTTCCTGGGCCTCGGGGCCTACTCCTACTTCTCAGGCATGTCGCAGCTCGAGCAGCAGCGAGCCGCCATCCTCAAGAGCAAGTCCATGTTCGGCATGCGCAGTCGAAGATTCGGCATAACCGGCATATCGCTCGCCCTCGCATGGATGGGCCTCTGGAGGCTGTTCCGATGACCCCCCTCTTCTTTGGTGTTGCAACCGGCGTGCAACACACTCCCCTCCTCTCCTCTCAATCACCCGGAGCTTTCTCTCATTCTTCGGCATGACCACGACGATGACGATGCAAACGGAAGGCGGCGACCGGGAATAACGATACATGGAGGCTCATGATCCTTGTGACGTCAGGCGGCTTGCTTGGCCTTTCCCTTGCTACATTGGCGCATCGAATCGTGCTCAAGAAGGCCAGATAGAACATCGGGCACTCTCGTGAATCACAATGCGCCTCGTGTATGGCGTGTTTTGAGCCTCAATATCGGCCGACACCATCGGCTATCGTGCCAGCTGTCCGCCAGCTGGCGACCTACCTCAACTTTCGTCGAGCGCACTCATCGTGTCTTATATAAATGTATATGTGTATATCAAGATGCGTAGATATATATAGTACTGTATTATCAAATTGAATTAGAAGGTATACCAGTAAACATTCACGCTGTCTTTACCTTTTTTTGTAAAACGCTACCTGATTGTGCTTTGGGCCTTGTTGTGCCCAATGTTATTTCCATCTTTCGGTACCGTTTGGACCCATTCTTTTTTTGCATGCGACTTTCTTCAAATTCGATGTTCGAACAAAGGCATACGAGATCTCAATCAACACAAAACGGCCGTATAGACAACGATATCAGCAGTCACAGGACGGAATACACTCACAGCTTTATATGAAGTAAATTGGATCAGCCGTCAGTCAACCAAACCAAGGCGGCATCTCGAGGCTGCAAGATTCGCCTGTAAGAGAGGCTTGTAGAGGACTTTCACCCTCCGTCTAGTGAAGGCCACCATGCCTATCACCATCATCACACCAAAGCCAGTGCCACGGCATTTCGGCCGCGATGCCGCCAACTCAGACTCGGACTCAGACTCCGGCGGCGTCGACATAGAGGGCGACGTCGCCATGCGGCCAGCCAAACGGGCCAGGAGGACAGGCGGCGATGAGATTGTCACACCCGGCGAGATCATTACGGATGATCCCCAGTGGATGAGGTCTGTTCTTTCTTCATCCCGCCCCGCTGAGACTCATTTTTTTTCCCCCTGCAAGACTGACACTTACACAGAGGACATGGCACCTACGTCAACCCGGGCGAGACGTCCATCATCTCCTCGGTGGCGGGCACGGTGACGCGCACAAACAAGCTGCTGTCGGTGCGGCCGCTGCGGGCGCGCTACACGCCCGAGGTCGGCGACCTGGTCGTGGGCCGCATCGTCGAGGTGCAGGCGAAGCGGTGGCGCGTGGACGTCGGCTCGACGCAGCTGGCGTCGCTGCCCCTGTCCGCCATCAACCTGCCCGGCGGCATCCTGCGCAAGCGCACCGAGACGGACGAGCTGCAGATCCGCACCTTCTTCGCCGAGGGCGACCTGCTCGTCGCCGAGGTCCAGCAGCTCTTCCAGGACGGCGGCGCCGTGCTGCACACGCGCTCCCTCAAGTACGGCAAGCTGCGCAACGGCCTGTTCGCCGCCGTCTCGGGCGTCGGCGGCGGCGCGGGCGTCGTGCGCAGCAGGCGCCAGGTCTGGACCATGGACTTGGCTACGATTAGCGGCAGCGGTAGCAAGATTGATGTCATCCTCGGCGTCAACGGCTACGTCTGGATCAGCAAGCACGTCGAGGCCGAGAGCCCGGCCGTCGGGGGCGGCGTGACGAGCATGGAGGAGAGCGTGAGCGTCAATGTCTACTCGAGCCAGAACGACCCTATCGAGGTGGAGGTCATGCGGGAGATTGCGAGGGTCAGGGGTGTGATCACCGCGCTGGTGGAAAACGGACTACGCGTGGACGAGGATATGGTTATGAAGGGCTATAGGGAGGCTGTGGAAATGGGCCGGAGTTCTACTGAAGGCGAGGATGACATCTATCTGGGTGGAGAGAAAGGCCGCCAGCTAGCTGCGGCATTGTCAGGTACCTGAAAGGGGGTTCACTAGCTCGTGAGATTCGAGCATGCTCTATGGCGATGTCTTGGAACGCGTTATGACATGGCAGTGTCATGTATTGTCATGTACTGGGAACGAGTGTGTCCCAGAGCTGCCCCGGAGGTCCAGCAGCACCTCAGTCTCGTGCTGTCAATCTACAGCAGATGTATCGTACAGTACTTCTCAACCTAGTAATCAGGTATCGTGATTCTAACTCAGGGCCCCAGATCCTTGTACTTCCCCATACATCGAGCTTGTTGACCAGTTGCGAAACTTACTGCTGTTACTAGTATCTGCAGGCGCCACCGTATCATACTGCGGATACGGCCAGCCATGCAGCGGCGACTCATCCACCGGGTTTGGGGCTCGATCCCAAAGATAGGAATCAATGAGGTTCTAGAGGATCGTTAGCAGCCATCCATTAGAATCACCTTTTGAGGCTATCACTGACCCAGTCGATATTCTGCGTGTCCGCAATCATGTTATCCAAAGGTGCTTGATGCAATGTAGATTCCCGGTTGAAATCCCACTCCATCGAGCGACTCACGAGTTCGCCCTCCCTAGGACTAGCAAAGGTCACGTATTGTACAGGAGCCATGGGCTCCTTCGGCACAGGGGCGGATATTTTGGTGAGAATCGCCCCGAGCACTCTGGTGGCGTGCGCTGCGTCCTTGCTGATGCATATCCTGTTGGACCAGAGCTTGTAAGTGCGCTGGAGGATCTCGACCTTGCGGGTCCTCTCTGTCTCGCTGTGAAATGCGTCAATAATGTAAAGAAATAATGCAGCATGTCGGGGTGTTCCTACTTACCTGCTGGGCAACTTCTCCGACAAGTCCAGACATACTATCATGGCCGCCATGAGGAAGTCGTGCATCGACAAGTTCGACATGAGATACATCCCGCCTTCTAGCCGTCGTCCTCGCTGCGTCTCGTCGTCGAATTCGGCCTGAAGCTCCAGCAACCTGACGGCAGCTGCGCGGCAAATCTCGCGCGATCGTTCATACTTGGGGTTGTCCTTCTCCACTGTGAGATACCTACGATGTAGGACGCACAGACTCTTCCAGTAGACCACCTCGATGGTCATGCGGCGCATGATGAGAGTTCCCGTGTCTAGGAAACTCGTTGTGCTGATCGGCACCCATCGTAGACTCGGCGGCACGCGGTCATGCAAAGCCTGTAGCTCGTTGCTGAGCTTCCACGTCTCCTCGTAGTCCGTCTGCTTGCTAGACATGGCGTGGCGAATGACCCGGCGAAGGAGCCGGATCTTCGGAGACTTGTAGCAGTAATACAGTACCGGTGTGGCCTCCGTGAAAGGGCGCCCCGGAGGCAGCACCGACGTGTCTTCGTCAAAGTCCTCGTCGCGCAAATTCGTCGGCCCGTCCGTGTCACACTCGTCCTCGTGCACAATTGTAGGCATGCCCTGCTGGAACGAGAACAGGAGGTCAAAGGTCTCCGCCATGTACCATGTCCGCCTACGCATCTCTGCTTCGAACGCAGTGACGCCGGCCCCAAGATGCCTTGGGTCTCTGTGGTAGCCCATGCGCTGCGCCAGGCGAGTAGCAATGCCAAACATTGAGCAGATAATCGGGTCAGGATCCCGCTTCTGCATTAGACTTCCCTGCGTGTGCAAGAGAAGGGCCTCGACAGCGTAGGGTTTCGACTTGAGGTACTCGCCTGCCACCAGACATCGACTGGCCATGTTTGTGAACTTTTGAATGTTGTCGTCTCTAATTAAGGAGTTACACACCACCGTCTTCGCAGCTTGCAGGAGGGTCGAGGTCGCCAGCACATTGAACAAGATGCTGATCCACAGGAGATTTGTCGACTCAGGACTCTCCCAGAATCTCTGATAGACCCTCTTGAACTGTCCTGTGTGGATGATTGGGGTATGAGCCTGGTCTGATAAGAAGTAGGCAGCCAGCAGATGATCACAGTCTGCTCGGGGCGGCAGACACTCCATCACTTCCTGTATGCTTGGCGCAGTGAGGTATCCGAAGAGCATGTCTGGATTGTCTGACCTCCCTGCCACGCATTGTTGCTCGTCAGGCGTCATGAGGATCGGCAATCCTTCATGTTCACCTTCCAAATACCCTTGGATGTCGCGAATACTTTCAAGCACAGCAGCCCAATTCGTGGTTCCGACGAACCGGATCTCCTCATCTCCGGTACTCAGATGAGCCCCTGGCATTTGTGGCTCGGTAGAAGTATCCTTCGCCGGCGAGCCCTCCTGCCCAGCTGAGTTAACCTGCAAGCTCTCCGGGGTCTGTGAAGCGCCGCCATTACTCGACGAAGAGGTGGACTTCTTCTTCGCCGCCGTGTGGCTCACCAAGCCATTGACCATCTCCTCCAGCCTCTGCAGGCGACTCTGCACCTCATGCCGGGAGCCAGAGCCCGAAGGCCCAGCTTTGCCCGCACTGGAACTGCCGCCATTCGTCGCAGCCGGAGCAGCAGAGGCAGCAGCGCCTGGTGCCGCCGCCGCCGCCGCCGACGAGAAGTTGCACGCGCCCTCCTCTGAGCGCTTGACGCATGCGCCGCAGGGCTGCTGGCGGTCGCACTTGAGCTTGCGAGCGCGACACGGCGCGCACGAGACGGGCTGCCTGTTGCGCTTGACGACCTTGCGCGGGTGGGCACCCCCGGGCTGCTGGAGCCGGAAGACGGCCGTGTAATTGGTGATGTCGGCCGGCTCGCCCACGGTCCCGGTCCACCCCATCCTCTCTCGTCTCCTCCTCTTCTTCTTCCTCCTCCGCGTGACAACGGGGCAATGCAGGCTCCTTGCCTGTCCGTCTCCGTCAGTAGATGGCGCTTCCTGCTCTGCTCCTTCTATACGTCGCACAGCAGCTCAATGTGGAGGGATGGGTAAGCCGGGGAATGTGATCCGGGGACAAACAAGACCACCCAGGCGTTCCCAGACCCAAACCGGCGCGGCAGGGCTGACGAACCCACCCACTATTGTAGCAGTACAGTACTGTACTGAGATGCAAGTCCCGCGAAGCCGGCGCCTACTTCCAAATTAGAGGGCACGACGTCCTAATCAGGCAGATCTTGGTCCGAAAGAGGAAGAATGCGTGATGTCCACCAAGTCGAGGTACTCTAAGCTGCTATTCTGCCAAGATGGAAGATGAGCGGGAGATCGATCTGGAGGCGCTTGCCGGGGCGCGGGAAGCCGGTGGTCTCTAGACTTTCGGCCTCGGACTTTAGCCGGCCATAAATTGGGAGAGCCAGCCGCCACCACTTAGGCAAGAGGCGCGGCTTGCCGTCTCGAGCCATGTCGCCAGCCACTGAGCGTAGCGCGCGTATATGAATTGGCATGCAAGCGAAGATGGATTGCCTGGTCGTATCGATGTTTCTATGTAAGGTCTCTGTGGTACACGCCGTGGGAGGTTGTCTTGTCTCCCATGCATGGCCGCCCGCTCCGTCCAATCCGGGCTAACCGGTGTGTGATCCCGGGGGGGAAGAGGGCACTCATGCTGACGGAATACCGACCTTGTCTCGGGCGCCCGAGGCTGAGATGCGCTGTCTTACTTGGGGATGGGAGCCTCAGCATATGCCATATTCTACGATACTCTGCTGCCTTGGAATAAACTCCCAATGAGCTGAGAGGATGTTGGTGGTCGAGCAATGGCAAATCAGATAACTCAGTCGCCTTACACTTTTAGCGAGAAGGCTATTGGGACAGGAAGACTGCTAGGCAGAAGCGTTTGGCTGTTTCATGTCCAAGTATCTAGATCAAGAGTCATCAAGAGTATCTGAAACAGGTTCATATCGGTCAAGAGATACTACAATGAGAAAGGAGTGGCGGGCAAGCCTATTCTGGCCGGATTATACGAGGTACTGCCCGTAAGCTGACGCCATCCATATCCACTCTCCGCGTGGCCATCTCCGCCGAGAGTAGGATCGGGGGATGCCCAGCTATCAGCTACAGGATAGAGGACAGTGTTAATCAGTCTGAGGGTCTAGGCATGTCACTGCTGCGGCTGTTCCTGGGCCCAGGCTGCTGGGACCTATCATTGTCTCGCATGACAAGTCATGAGATAGGAAGAAGGCATGGTAACCTACAGAGCAATCTGTTCAATTTGTACTTCATTAGAGTTGAACTCAGTCCAGCAGTAACATCTTTACTATTCCCCCAAGTACCATCCTACCATCTCAGTAATCAGAGCACCCAAGGACGTCTTGTCGTAAGCATCACTCAAAACGCACAAGCACACATACACACACAGTTACATACATACATTCGCACAAACACACGAGAGAGGACGAGCGGGAGATAGAAAGAACCAGCAAAAGCCCAGTAGCTACCAGCGCTAACACCGTCTTTATATACCCAGATACCGAAACAAAAATAACGCTCAAAGCCACATATGATATAATGATGCCATGGGAAATGCCAGCCGTGAAATTCGTCCGAAGGCGTACAGGTTTCGTTCGTCTGGAGGTAAATAAACACCCAATGTATCCATCATGTCCACTCCCTCCTCTTTTGTTTACGCCGAAACCCATCGATAGAAGAGAAAACGTGGACGATCATTGTATGAGGTAGCTCCTAGGAAACGGTAACGTAAAGGGAAAACAGCATTATGAACGGCTTTTTTGGTACACACGGCGCATTAAAATGGGTATCATAGAAAATTAGAGAAACATGAAGTCGCGTCAACCCCCCATATAGCACAGTTCCCAGTCGTTAGGTGCGTAAAGTCCCTTTGGTTTTACGAGGCGATGCCTCGCCTAACCACTGCGGGGCTGCCGAAGCAGACACAGAAGCTTGGCAGATCCTGATCGCAGAGTTAGCTTATCGTTGCAGGATGATACAAGATTCACAAGTGACTTACCTTGGTGACGAGCGAATTTGCCCCGACGGTAGTGCCCCGTCCGATTCTCGTCCCAGGAAGGATCACCACATTGCCACCGATGAAGCAGTCGTCCTCGATGACAATCGGCTTGCCATATTGTGTACCTCTGCTTCCTTGCCGTCGCTGGTAGTTTGTTGTTACTGTGCCGGTATAGATGCACACATTCGGTCCAATAATGACATTGTCGCCGATCCGAACCTCGCAGGTGTCGATGATGGTGCAATTGCGACCAACCACAACGTTCTTACCGATGTGGATGTTGTAGCCGTAATCGCACACGAACGGAGCCTCGATGACCACGTTATCGCCAACACGTCCAGTATGAGTGACAGGCGACGTCATTGTTGGCGAGATCTGGATGCCCTCCTTGGGATGCAGAATCTCGCGGAACAGCCGTGCCCGCTCTGTGGGCGACACTCCATTGTTCGGGTTCGTGGAGTTGTTAAATCTCCAACACGCCGCGCTGCACCTCTCTCGCTCCAGAACGAGCTCCTTATCAAAGGGATAGTACGGACGACCCTGAAGCATCTCATCCTTCTCTCTGCGTGGACGATTACCGGGGAATTGCGAGTGTGATAAGGCGAGCTGTGCTGTAGTCTGTACAGTACTTGACTGGGGCGTCACAATCGGGCTGTTCGTCCTGGTCGCATGCATGATGTTAATCTGCGGTAGCGTATTGCTTTGCGGGACTTCTGGCTCTGTTCGACTGAGATCATGCAGTGGTGGCACCCGCTGATACTCCTTGGGTGTCCGGTCTGGAAACGGAACTGGCGCTGCGCTAACTGGGGTGGGGAACATATTTGCTGGGTTTCCATAGGCGGACATCGCGGAAAGCTTGTTGTCTGGACTGGTTACAGATGCACTGGGCAAGGTCGATGCAGTCGGCCTCTCGTCATCAGTCAGAACCGGGCGACCCTGTGGTGGTTCGATTCGGAGGGGTTGGCCCCGGTATGGCGGGAGTGGATCGCGTTTTGCAGCTGGCGGATATGCCGGGGCTGGTTGCGGCATCCCGTAAGCACCAGGGGGTATGTAGCTCGGATCCTTTGATTCAATTTGAATCGTAGTCGGCTTATTCTCCGGCTTCTGCCATGTCCCTCGCTGCGGCGGATACCCAGCGCACACAAAACCACCACGAACACAGTTGGTACCTGCAAAATTGTGAGCTACATACCTTTTTGAGTCGTCTGAAACACCGAAAAGCTTACATTCGGGCTTGTTTTCGTCGCACTTCTTCTTTCTTTTCCTACATGTGAGACACCCAGTCTTTGTCCTGTTGCTGAAGTTCCTCTTCCTCTTCTTGGGGTCTGACTGGATGACACCGTCCCTCCGTTGCTCGGGGGTGTATTGACCGGAATACATGGAAATTGACCGGTCATCTCCATCCGGGCTTGTTTGGGGATAATCGCTGTGGTCTAGCTGACTAGTGGCTCTTCGCAGAGTCTCCCCAATCTGTTCGTCAGTGTTGGCCGAGTTAGGAGCCGCTGATTGAGGTTCCTGGTACCCGTGACCTCGCTCATCTCGACTCTGCTGAGAGAACCACGGATCGTGCTGGTCACGTCCCTCATCGCCATACGGCCGGTAATCCCTCTGGGGAGTGCCATATCGATCACGTGATTCGGATTGACGTTGTGTTGGTTGAGGCTCCTCTGCTCTCTCTGGTTGTGATGGAAGCTCCCTCCGGGCCTCTATGGAATCGGACCTTTTGCGCTTGTGTGAATTTTCGATATCTGGATAAGCAGCAGAAGGGTATGACGGCCGCTCGTGACTTGGACCTGGCCAACCCTCTCGCTCTCTGTGACTTGTCGATACCTCACCGGCAGATGCGGGCTTTGGTTCTGAGGGTGGCGCAGGGCCGTTGGCGGGTCGCTCATTAGACCCTGTGCGCTTCATATCGACGCTGCCATTGACCCCTTCAGTGGCCTTGGGTGAGCCCCCATTCAGGGCTGTAAATGTCGCCATCTTCATTCACGCCGTGGTGAAAAGGTTGCAGTGGGGGGTGCGTGCTTGCACGGGCGACGTTCGTTAAGAGGCACAGCGCCCTTGCTGCCAGAAAGACGAGCCTTACGATGCTCGAATTAGGCAGCTAAAAAAGGCGGGTGCTTGGCGCAAAGTCTGGTACTGAGGTGCTCGACGGGGCGGATGCGACAATTAGAATTGGGCTGTGCCGAGTCCTCCGTCACAAGCGCAATGTGCTGAAACGAGACAGCTACAGGAAAGCGAAATGACGAGTGAGCTGGCAATAAGCAGGCGCGGGAGCGGATCGGCCAGACAATGGGAAACCAGCAGGCGGGAAGCAAACGCCGTCAAATGTGGGCCGGAATGCTCGAGCCCACTGTGGTATAAGGTACTGTTAAATCTACTACTAACAGTGCTGTTGCGCAATGCGTCAGAGTGTGTGAGAGCCGCGCACACGCCGTTCGAAAGTCTAGCAAGCAGAGGCTGTGAGCGTCGTTCGTGAAAGGCGAGACGAGGTGGACCTGCGCGAGAGTGATCGCCAGGCGACTCGTGGTAGGGTAGAGGTGGGCGGCAAGGACGGGCGGGTGCACGGTAGTCGGGGGCCCTCCTTCCTTATCCAAGTGGAGTGGATCGCCTCGTGTGCGACTGGGGATTTCCTTGGTGAATCGGCGAAGTCAAGACCGCGCGGTGATCAACGAGCGGTGGCAGGCAGGATTTTTGCTGATTCAAGTCAGGTTAGCGGGGAAGACCGTTGGAGGCGCGTGCGTTGCGTTGCGTTGCGTTATGTTATGTTGGCGCTGCGCCGAGTAGCAGAGCAAGTAAGCTAGCTGGTCGCACGATGCGCTGCTCGCCCGTGAAGCAATACGATGCGATGCGATGCGGCCGCGGTCTCAGCGAGTGGACAAGGCTAAAGGTAGTAGAGAGGGTGAAAAGAAGACCGAACTCTGAAGTGTGAGAGAAAGCGTTGGTCTGTAAATTGTGACGGGGCTGGGGGCTCGTCGCAGCAAAACCCGGAGCGCAATGTGCTGAATAGTGTGATGCGGTGCGATGCGGTGCGGTGCAATGCAGTGCAAGTCGCTTCAGCCTCCACAATTGCTCGCCTGGGGATTTCGGGCGGCGTGGAATGGGCCAGGACAGGAGCAGGAGCAGGAGGGAACAATGACACGTCAGAGGCACATGAAAGTGTCTGCTGCGTGCAGCCCAGAGTGAATAAATTCCCAATGAGAAGGACTCGCAACGGTAGGTCAAGCGAAGAAGTAAAGAGAAGGTAAGGTAAGGTAAGTAGAGGTAGAGGCAGAGGCAGAGGTCGTCCCGTTCGTCGTTGCACGTCGGTCCGTTGAGACGGGATGCGCCAATCGAGCAGAGCCGACCGTTTAACGTTGCAGAGAAAGCTCCTACAGACGCGGAAGTGCCGACTTGTTTCTGGCGTATCCAAGATGATCTGCCCCTCTTTATGCTGCTGGTGCTGGTACTGGTGCTGATGCTGTCGAAAAGCTATCGCCTGTCTCCTCAGTTCAGCTCTCCAAAAAACCGAACCCCAAAAAAAAAGAGATCCTCGCCAGGGAAGTGGGCAAAATAGGTCGAGTCTACCCCTCAAAATAAAACAGATCAAGATAAAACCTGGCGCTTGAGGCTTGACGCGCGATTACGTTCCGCCTGATGCAGTGAATGGTCGCAAAAGCAATGCTGGTGCGAGAGAAGCCCAGGTGGTGCCAGCACTGGGTGTTGGTGTCGCTGGTGATGATATGTCTCCTCGCCCTGGTTAGCAGTTCCTAACACCAGCTCTCATGCTCGGCAAGGCGCGGAACCTGTCTTGTCCTGGCTAAACAGAGAGGCGAAGCGTCCCGCGGACCAAAAAGCTGGCTGAGGAGGAAGTGCAGTGCCGCACAAGAAAAGTCGCAACGACAGGAGCTTGTCTCAACAAAACTCAGCGCAACAATCCGATGTCCTGGTGCAGGCCCAAAGATGATGACGGAGAACAATGAACGAAAGTCGAAGTCAGCTGCAATAGGGGACGTCTACAGCAGTGTGGGCTAGGATGTCAGGGCGTGCGCGCCTGTGTGTGCAACGACCGCAATCTAAGGCGAGGTAAGGTAATGTAATGTAGGGTAAGCTGCCTACTTGCTTGGCCTTGGTTGTTGAGGGAGGTGAGTAGGTGGGTAAATAGGTAGGTAAGTAAGTAGTAAGTGAATGAGCAGGTGAGATGGGAGACCACACAGACAAGCGTCGGCAACGGGATATCAGTCGTCGTCCTCGTCGTCGCTTCGACGATCGGCCTGTTCGGGCAAGCAATGGATGCTGGGTCTTGTGTAAATGGAACCAAGAGCAGGAAAAGAGAATGAAGGGGGGGGTGGTCGGCGGGTGCTCTTCAACTTTTGTACAATACACAATTGCGATATCCGCATCGTTCGCTAAGCCCGGAAAGACCCCAATATTGGGCGGCATGGCGCTTCCAAGTCCAGGTACAAGTACCGGTACTCGTACAGGTACCCCAGTACATCCGTCCAGTTGCACTTCACGGGGGAAGATATGACATGGGAGGACGGCGACTGCCAGCACCAGCGCCTGCGCGCGCGAGCCAAAGTGTGGGTGACTGAGGGCAATGGCCGGACAAGGGTGTATTAGTCTAGCGTGTGCAGGCGTGCGGTTCGTGTGTGTGTGAGAGCGTCAATTCGAGCGAGCGAGCGGGTGTGAGCAAGTGACTGCGTAAGTGAGTGAGTGACGGAGAGGACGGGCAAGTACCTCCTGCCCTGACGCAGCCAGTGTCCAGGGTATGGTCTGGTCTGGTCCAGGGCAAAGGCAGCATGGGGCATGGGGGCATGAGCATGGCATGGCAAGATGAAGAGGGGGGGTGTGGGAGCATGAATGGCACAAGCGCAGCCAGCTCTCATTACCACTCACAACGTCGGTGACATCTACCTGCTCTGGTCTCTCATGAAGAAAGGTACTCGAGCGCATACTGATTAGCATCCGTCCCTGATCTAAACACAACTCAAAGATGACTCTGGCTTCATCCGCTCTGCCTCGACACATTCATCGACAAAGAGGTCTCTCTACAGTGGGGGTGCAGCAAGACAGAAACGCCATGCAAGATGCTGCCTGCCGCCCACACATCACATCTCATTAGGGTTTCGATTGCCTCGATAGATATCCCCGTCTTTGGTTAAATCAGGTTCTTCAAATCGTAAGGGAGGTTGACAGATCGGGTGGATGGATAGGCACACCCTCCTTCTTATTCCTGCTTCACGAGCTGCCTTTTTTTCCCTCTATTTGGGTTATTGGCAATCTAGGTCACCAATTCACATCGACCATCGGTCAGCCTGGTCAGAGTGTCGATTGAAAGAAAAAGGCCTAAGTTACACCCAGCCATAAGGTGGGACGCGCTG